CTGCAATGCTGGTATCCCGTGTGTGTGCTGGTTCATGACTCAGCTGCTCCACTTCTGATCCAGCTCCCTGCTGATGGCCTGGGAAAAGCAGCAGCAGATGGCCCAAGTGCCTGGGTCCTTGCTAACCATGGGGGAAACCCGGAAGAAACTCCCAGCTCCTCGCTCTGGATAGGCCCAGCTTTGGCCATTTGTGCCATTTGGGGAGTGAACCAGCAGATGGAAAATCTCTGTAACTCTGACTTACAAATAAATAAATAAATCTTAAAAAAATAAGCAAAATATATAAACACATGTATAACTCAATACTAAAATCATGAACCATCTGATTAAGTAATGGACAAAGGATCTAGATAGACACTTCTTGAAAGAGAAATCCAAATGGCAACAGCTGTACGCAAAAGTACTCAACTCTGCAGTCATCAGAGACACACAGCTCAAAACCTCAATGAGGGGGCTGGCGCTGTGGCTCACTTGGTTAATCCTCCGCCTGCGGCGCCGGCATCCCATGGTAAGTGCTGGCCAATATGCAGAGAAAGGGGCGCTATTGTACACAGGTGGTGGGAACACAGATTGATACAGCGATTTTGGAACAGCATGGAAGTTCTTCAAAAAATGAAAAGTAGAACAACCACGTAATCATGCACCCCCACTCCGGACATGTGTTCAAAGGAGCTGAAATCGAGATCACGCAGAGGTGTCTGCAGACTAATGTCCACGGCAGTGTTGTTCACAGTAGCTCCTGAATGTCCATCACAGATGGATGGACAGAGAAAATGTGGTGCATCTGTACAATGGAACATCATTTAGCCTTTTAGAAAGAAGATGTGAACGTTTACAATGGTGGGGATGAACCTGTAGGACATGGAGAGACACACACCGCATGTCACTGATATATGGAACCTAAAATAGCCAGACTTACAGAGCAGAGGGGAAGTTGGTGGTTCCAGGGGGTGGGGAGGGGGAATGAAGGAATAGGGTGATTTTGGTCAAAGGCACAAAGTTTCAGTGACACAAGACAAATGAGGTCCCAAGATCTGCCTTATAGCATGACAACAGTCAACCAGTTAGCCATACTGTGTCATATAAATAAAATGTGCTGAGAAATCAGATCTGAAATCTCAGTTCTCACACACACATGCAAACACACACACACACGCACACATGCACACACACACGCACACACACACACGCACACATAGAGGTAGAGATAGATTAATTACCTGGGCCTGACTGTTGTAATCATTTTGCAATGTATACACGCATCAAAACATCCATTTGTACCTGTTTCTATCATTTGCGTATGCCGATGAAGCTACTAAACATAGCTATTTTTTAAAATGGGACTCCAAAAGCTTGGTTAAGAAACAAAAGATTATCCCTCAAATTCTATGTGAGTGGAAAGACGGGAGTATTGGGGGAGCTAAGAAGGCAGAGGAGGAGAGAGAGCAGGGACAGAGGAACCGGTGAGGAGAGGGAGAGAGGCAGAGAGGTTCCCTGCGATCTGCCCCAGTTCTGCCATGGCCCACAGGGTGGCAGCAGCGATGGCGTCTGGTGGGACCCCTTGCAGGGGCTGCATTCCACAGCCAGGGGTTGCAAAGTGGCCAGAGCCTGAAGTCCCAGGAGACCTTGGCTTGCACGTGTGTGGGCAGAGCTTTCCATAGCCATTCCAGTGCTCTGGGACTTCACAAGCCCCTGTCCCGAGTGACAGTGCCAGCCCCACCCCAGACCTAGGAGGTCCAGGTCCACTGACCACCGGGTCCCTGGAATCAGGTCAGCTCATCCATGACCTCCAACCCCCAGCACAGGTGGGCTCCCGCCCTGTGCCTGCCTCCCCAAGTCCACATGCTGTCCCCTCTACCCGTTCTCTGCACGACACAGCTGAGGAGCGGGACCCGGGTGTGGCTTGGGGGAAGGGAGGTGGCTTTCCATGAGTTTCCTCTAAAGTCACCCCAGATTAGTCCGCCAGTAAAAAACCACAAACTAAAACGGACTGCTTGCCCACAAACACAACACCTAGACACACCCTCGCACCCCTGTTCCTCTGACGCCATGGGCATTCCAGTCACCCAGGGCAGGATGAGGTCCTCTTGAGTTTCAAATCTCACAACCGCCCTCCCTTGTGTGGGAATAAAACCCAGCCACAGGCCACGGCGAGCTTGTGGACAGAACGACCCCTGGGGCTCCCCCCTCTTCCCACTCCGCTTTCCCCAGTGCAGTGAACAACACACGTTTCTCCTGCCCTGACTGCCAACCCTCGCTCCCTTCTGATGTAGACACAGCCCACCTGTTGAATACATGCCGGAGGTAGCACAGAGCATCGTTACCATTGCCTACTCCTACAGGATTCAGCCTGAAAATGCTCCTGTATCCAAACCATTGAGCAAAGGGCTGATCCAGCAAATTCAGGGACTATAAAGAAGATTTAGCCCAATGCCTGGAACATGGTAGATGCCTTGCAAATATTTTGAGTTATGTGGCCTTGGTGAAGATTGAGCTGACAATATCTTTAAATATAATTATGTGCTGTGAAAAAATATATTATAAAGGTGTCCCTGTATAAGAGTTACACTATATATATATATATACATAAATATATATACACATCCAATCTTAGAATCCCATGCCCTGTGTTTCCTTCCAATATTCTCTAACTATTCTCCAACTTTTTGGTGATCTCTGAAAATACCCAGCACTTTGGTGTTCCCTCCCTCCATTGAACACGATCCTGACGTCTGACATGGTCACGGGTGCACAGGCATCAACCTTACAGACCCAGGAGCCTTCCAGCCCTTCAGCTAAAACAGCAACGACGTCAGAGTCAGAGCAGCTGGAAGGGGACACGCTGGTGACAGCACCCGCACGGAGAAGACCTCCACCAGTGCCTTGCTCCCTGCAGCCAGGGGCCACCCCCCACCCCATCAAAAGCCAGCCCAAGCCTAGCCATTAAGAGCATTGCCAGCTTCCTCGTCCTCACTCTTGGAAACCAGCCACCGTGTAGGAAGGGGCTGCCTCAGGACCACCACACTGCAACAAGCCTAAGCTGCATGGACAGGCCTCAAAGGATGTGACCTCACATGGTGGGGGCACACAGAGGAGATCCGGGCCTGGCCACCAGCTGAGCCCAGGCCAGTAAACCCCGCAGGGGCCACACGTAGCAAAAGAACCAGCCAGGCCGGCGCCGCGGCTCACTAGGCTAATCCTCCGCCTAGCGGCGCCGGCACACCGGGTTCTAGTCCCGGTCGGGGCGCCGGATTCTGTCCCGGTTGCCCCTCTTCCAGGCCAGCCCTCTGCTGTGGTCAGGGAGTGCAGTGGAGGATGGCCCAGGTGCTTGGGCCCTGCACCCGCATGGGAGACCAGGAAAAGCACCTGGCTCCTGGCTCCTGCCATCGGATCAGCGCGGTGCGCCGGCCGCAGCGCGCCGGCCGCGGCGGCCATTGGAGGGTGAACCAACGGCAAAGGAAGACCTTTCTCTCTGTCTCTCTCTCTCACTGTCCACTCTGCCTGTCAAAAAAAAAAAAAAAAAAAAGAACCAGCCAGCAGAGCCTTTCCTGCACGCCTGACCCACAGCATCACAGCCAGTAAAATGATTGCCTGAAGCCAGTGAGCAGTATGGCAGCTTGTTACGCGGGTGTAGACAGCAGATAGCGACCAAGACACCCAGTTACCGTCACAGACCGGGTGACTCCCGCACGCAGAGCAGGCAGTCCCAGCAGGAGGAAGAGGAAGACCCGCCAAAGCCGGAGCTACTCTGGAGCTAAAGTTCCGGGAGGGGCCAGGAAGGTCTGAGCACCAGGCCTCCACCCACCACCCTGGTCATCAACACACTGCCCAGGGTCAGCGTTCAGCAAGTGAGGACAGTGAAAACAGCCTCAATTTTTAAAAACGTGTTGGTAAATAACACACAAATAAATAATAAATTGTAAACAGATACTTGCTTATGTTCCAGCTCTGCAAAAGGCATCTTTTGTTTGTTTAGTCATTCAACAAACATTCATTGCAGTCTTACTGTGGACAATGACTGGCAGCTGGAGAGTCAGCCAAACCAGACATGCTAGGGGACCAACCACCAAACAGTACAGCCCTGGGAGACTGCATCAATGCCGTCATCCCGGCTGCCATTCCCAAAACACTGTGGTGAAGCACCCCACATCACCCCGTCGAGCCTATCGGGGTGCCGCCATTTCTGAATCCATGGCCACTGCTGATGAACCTCACTGTAACCCCAGCCACGCAGCCCGGGCGGGCACAGGCACAGTCTCTCCACGCCTGACGTCCACACGTGTTCACGCGTTTGTAGCGGGCACAGGCACACTCTCTCCACACGTCCACACGAGTTCATGCGTTTGCAGCAGGCACAGGCACACTCTCTCCACACGTCCACACGTGTTCACGCGTTTGCAGCGGGCACAGGCACACTCTCTCCACGCCTGACTCCACACGTGTTCACGCGTTTGCAGCGGGCACAGGCACACTCTCTCCACGCCTGACTCCACACGTGTTCATGCGTTTGCAGCGGGCACAGGCACACTCTCTCCACGCCTGACGTCCACACGTGTTCATGCGTTTGCAGTGCCCCCCTCCATGTTAAATAGGTAACAGATTGGAGAGGCATCAAAGACCAGAACAGAGGCTCAGGGACCCCCAGACAGCTCTTTCGAGTCTTTCTGGTATATTCCCTGTAATTCCAGGATGTTCACTGCATCCACAGGAGAGAGAAAAGGGGGTGGGGGAGCGCTGGGTTAGCTGGAGCAGAGAGGATTCTAGAGATCTTGGACAGGGACTTCAGGACCACTCCCCACGGGGGCGGGGAACATGGGAGCAACTCCCTTCCAGCCCCCAGTCCTTGTGCAGAGAAAGAAGGTGCAGAATATGGAACAGTCACATCCGGCTGTTTTCACAATTAACTTACTGTTCTCTGCCCACACCACTGGCCTCCCACTGGAAGCTCACAGATATTGGAGATTTAAAAAATAGTCCTAGAACAATAAACAGAGTCGTACCTTCGTATCCAGTTGTCTGAAGCGATGCCTCATTCTGCAAAGCAATAGGAAAAGAAAGTGAGAGAGGGAGAGAGAGAGGGAGAGAGAGAGAGGGAGAGAGGGAGAGAGGGAGAAAGGGAGAGAGGGAGAGAGTGAGAGAGCAGTTAGGCTCCATGTTTTGGTCTTTTCACGGACAGAATACAGATCACTTTCATATTTTCAGCTCCATCAAGGGTCAGCTGCTTTGCCTCTCTGGTTTTTCCCCCTAATGAAGCAGAATTCCTCTTTCACCCCAATTAGTAGGCCAGAAAACAGAGGCTACTCTGCTGACAGGGAGGAGGAAGACAATGGGCAAGGTCTCTCCCTCCTTTTGGAGCCCAAGATCTCAGAGTCTCAGCTTAAGGCACTCACTTTGTCCAAAGAGAGAAAGCATAGCCCACGCATGCATCCTGCACGTCTTTCAATAGCTGTGCTGAAACTAAACAAAGGGGGGGCTGTGCTTATATTACTCATTTTCTCTTAGGGTGAATTTTTTTAGATTTTTAAAAATTTATTTGACAGGGAGCCGGGGTGGGGGTGGGGCAAGCCCCCAGCTCCTGCTTCACTTCCCAAATGCCTAGAACACCCAGAAGGTGGCAGTAGGGAGCTGGGAACTTGGGAGCTCAATCCAGGTCTCCCCCAAGGGTGGCAGGAATCCAGCTACTTGTGCAGTCAGAAGCTGCAGCCGGGCACCCTGATACAGGACAGAGGCACCCTAACTGGTATCTTAGCTTCTAGCCCGAACACCTGCTCCTGTCAGTGAAGGCAGAGGCGCGTTTGGGACTCTGGGGCAGAGCGACAGCATCATTGAGGCTCTGCCTTCTGAGCAGGGAGGGCGTGCTGCCTCGGGCTTTCCTTGGATCACTCAGACCCCCTAGTGCTTAGCCAGGACTCACCCACTTCTGTAAGATGTGTCATGTTGTGTTTATGAATCCCGAGATGTTTATAACCCTCCCAGCGTGCACCAATGATGCTCAGGACTTCTCAGGGACAGCCGGTAACAGGTCAACCAAATGGCTTGTCCACCTTCTAATCGCCCTACCTCCTCATGGCAGAGATAAACACGTGTGTGGCCAGTTGCCATGACCTGTGACTCTTCGGGCGGCTACCTCTGTAGCCATGGCAAGGGGACCCTCCCTCTTGTTCCCTGGTTCCATGGCCCTGCCCTGTGGGCTCCAAGTGGCTGTTTTTCCCTTAAGGCTACACAGTGAGAGCAGGAGGGCAGATGGCTTTTCCCTTGTCCAAGGGCTGGCTTACAGGTATGTATGTATCTGCCACATAGTATCTTTGTGGTGCTACGCTCCGCTGAGCACTGCTCTCTACGGAGCTTCCTGCTCTGCTGGCTGGCGGGTACAAACCCGGGAAGTGGCAAGGCAGAAATGAGCAAGCGACATACTCCTCCGAGGAGGTGTCGTGGGCTTTCGTGTTGATCTTGACAAGGTAATTCTCCTTCATGACACCCTCCCACGCCAGAGTCTCGTTGTCCTCATTCCGGAAACCTTGAATAATGGGAAAACAAAAATGTAAATTGCTTCATCTGCCCCTTGCTCCTTGCATCAACACCTGCTAGGAATTCCGCGAGACGCTGGCCCGAGCGGAGTTAGTGCGTCCTGCACAGGCTGATCTGCCCGATGGGGCTCACCAGTGACTGCGGCGGCGCGATGGGATGTGAAAGGCTAGCTCAGCGACAATGAGAAATCAGAGCTGCCTGCGTGAAATAGGAACACAGTCTTTATTCTACATAGACACCAACCCGAATCCCGTCTGTGTGTTCTGTGACTTAGCAAACGCACTCCACTAATGAGTTCTGTTCTCACATTTCATTCAAGCCCCCTTCCACTGTGATGGCTTAAAACCGCCCAACCGTTCCAGTGCATAATGACCGATGGACCCCAAGGCCAGCTTGGGACATTTGTTACACTTGAATAGAAGCCCCGGGCGGCCCAGCTCTCCTGAATTGTGCAGTCTGGGGGTGGACCTCAGAGAGAAGACCACACCTTGCACTAAGCCGGGCGTGCTGTCACACTGCTGGAGCGCTCTCCAGGAAGGTCCGCAGTTTAATTCCTAACAGCGTCTAGACTTTTCAGAAGGCATGGACCAGCATGTCATCTTACGGGGGTATCTCAAACAGTTCGTGGAAAATAAATGCAAAGAAAAGCCTATTTTACTGCAAAGACAAAATTTTGAAATCCACGCATCCAAGGGGTCTGCAAAACGTTCGTGGGAAACGTGTATTATGGAAAAACTACCAAGGATTTTGTTACACTGAACTAACATCCTCCGTGACTTCATTTCTCTGGGACTTCCTGGCGCCCCTCCTGGCGCCCCTCATGTTTTTCAGGTCCTAAGGTGGTGGACAGCAATCCTCCCTGTGAACGCACGGGGGCAGGAAGGTGCAGGCACTCACGCAGGTGTCCAGGTGGAATGAATTGACGCTGTTTTTCCACTGAGTGGCCACTTTGATTTATTCGTCAGCATGGTGAAGTTTAGGAACAATTATAAGATCCTCTTGGGTTTAAAAAGAATTAGGTTGAGCTTAAAGGACCAGTATGCAAGCAGTTGAATTTAAGTAAATCCTTAGCCAAATACAGATTTATTTTTATTTTTTTAAAAAATGTTTATCCCATTTGAAAGACAGAGTTACAGAGAGAGGGAGAGACAGAGAGAGATCTTCCACCTGCTGGTTCACTCCCTAAATGGCCACAATGGCCAAGGCTGGCCAGGCTGAAGCCAGGAACCTAGAACTCTATCCTGATCTCCAATGCAGGCAGAGGGGCTCAAACACTTGGGCCACCTTCCACTGCTTTCCCAGGCCACAGCAGGGAGCTGGATCGGAAGTGGAGCAGCCAGGACTCGAACTGGGGCCCTTATGGGATACTGGTGGCACAGGCAGCAGCTTAACCCCTATACCACAACACCGGCCCCCAGATTTATTTTTGAATGCTGGGGAATTGGGCCATCACTGTGGTGTAGTAGGTAAAGCCTCTGCCAGTGGCACCAGCATCCTGTATGGCCGCCAGTTCACATCCAGACTGCTCCTCTTCCAATCCAGCTCTCTGCTATGGCCTCGGAGAACAGTGGGAGATGGCCCAAGTCCTTGGGCCCCTGCACCTGTGTGGGAGACCTGGAAGAAGCTCCTGGCTCCTGGCTTTGGGTCGGCCTAGCTCCGGCCGTTGCAGCCATTTGGGGAGTGAACCAGAGGATGGAAGATCTCTCTCTCCCTCTCTCTGTAACTCTTCCTATCAAGTAAATAAATAAATCTATTTTAAAAAGATAAAATAATTCTGAACTAAATCTTTTTTGGTGGGGGTTTTTCACTAACAAAATTGTTTCCTATGTCTGGCTGTTTGGTTTGGTTTTCAAACCAAAATACATTCAGGCGCCCAGGAGAAATTCATAAAATTCATCACACACAAGACAGGGGCTCCTAGACACAGACGTCCGAGGCGCAGGAGGCAGGAGCGGCCAGGAAACCGTGAGCAGCCCCTGCAGCAGTGGAGGGAGCCCTGGTGCGATGATCAGAGCACACGTTCACCCACCACACAGGAAACTCCGCCGGCTCCCAAATCAGGGCTGCGTCCTGCGCTAACAAGCGCGTGGGAAACACTGAACTGGAAAAACCGTCAGCTGTTAGGGACTTCAGGGTGATGGGAGATGACAAAGTGACAAGGAGGGGATGCAGGCGACGCAGGAAGACTTGGCAGCGTGTGTGCCCCTTACTCAGAATCTCCCTTCAGACATGCTCAAAGTCACATGCGTGAAATCCTTTGTCCTAATGTCCTATGCTAACAAGAGTCATCAGGGCGGGAGGCACCTGGGAGTGGTTAACTCAGCCGACGGTATATCCACAGGCCAGAATATTCCACAGCTGAAAACAAGAGCCATATAGATTTTTATTTATGGATATGGAAAATGTTTATAATGCATTACTAGTTAATTGAAAATTATTAGGTCATGAGTGGATATGCGTGGAGCAATCCAATTATGACCTAAGCATAAGAATAGCAGAACAAACAGCCTGTGTTGAAAACGTTCCTCTCCATCCTTATTTGTACTTTCTTGTGTTTTCCAAATGTTTTATAATTAATACAGAATGCTGTCTGGATCACAGAAGGAACCCAGTGTATAAAAACGCAATTACTAGGCTGCATCCTTTTTTGCATTATGTGAAGATATTACCAAAAAAGTCCCCAAAGTGGAAGTTTGGATGCTACTTTTCTGCAAGTTATTTTAAAATCTTTGGTGTTTTTCTTTCTCCAAAGAAGGGCAGTTTCAAAATGAATGGTGTGCCCATCCCTGGGAGGCGAATGCAAAGTCTGTGGCCCGAGAGCACTGTGGCTCCTGGAATCAGTCACCTCCCAGGGGAGCCAAGGAGCAGGCGGGGCCAGGCATGCTGGACGCCTGCAGTCCGTAACCGAGCTCTGGGCTCCCTCGCCCGTCATCACCACGCCGTCGCTGCGTGGAGCGGAATCCTCTTCCGTGGGCTCCCATTCCTGCACTTCCTCAGTGCAGGGGCTGTTGGGAGACGGAGAGCGTCAACCGTCCTCACTGCGTCTCCCATCAATGCATGGCCATCGCTCTCCTGGGCCGGAAAAACGCCTCTCGCTTCTGCCCCAGCTCTTGCTTCCTCGCGGTGAAGTTCCTCCCACTTGCGGGCCGCGCGTGGAGACTTGTCCTCTTGCCGTGCGCAGATTGTTCTAAGTCACTACACCTACTGCGGGGGAATTTAGCACATTTCGTCCTGGCTCCCGAACTCCATCAGCTCCAGTGACCGCCCTGTCTTGTGCACCAGTGTTCCCGATCACCCTGACCCCAGTGGACTGGGCACAGAGGCTCTTTGGAGAATGGGCCTTTGTCCCAAGGAGCCCCTCAGGGAGTCACTAAATCTTCCCCCAGGTCCGCCAGGCATTCATCCAGGAGGAGATTCGAAGACAGAACCAGGGGGGTCCTAGGCGATTCATCCGGTGCCTCTGGAATTTGGGCGTGGTTTCGATTACAAATTCCAGCTCTTGACTTCCAGTTCCCATCCCTGATATAAAAACTTGCTTCACTTAGAAACAACTCACTTTGTCTTCCAAAGGCAAAATGGTGGGCAGTGAGATAGGAACTTATCCAAACTGTCAAAACATGTTCTCAGGCGGGCGTGATGGTTAATGACATCCCCCAAATGGCATTTGATGTTTTGCAATAATGCTGTGAAATGATGATTCTTTATGCCAAGACAAGAGCTGGGGGCACCGGCACATTCACCTTCTCAGAGCCAGCCTTTCGGGGGGCGTGGATCCAGGACAGCCCAGAATATGCTGCACCCAACATTCGAGGCCATGCGCTCGAGCATCCGGGCCCCATGTCTACCCAGCTAAAGAACCTCACGAAAAGTGATGGCTCATAGCAAGTTAAGTATGTCTCAATTGCCACCAATTAGCATGTCTGGGTTGGTAAAACACATATTTTTACCTTCTGAATCATCAAAATATTTGGAGTTACAGCAAAGGGACAGGAATAATCACCCCACGACAGAACATGAATCCAGCGATGGCAGTAAGTGGCTGCTTTATTAGAAAGGAGGACACACCCACACCCAGCAGCCACTGGCACACACAATGTGTGCAGGCAGTGGCAGCAAGGCGTGACCTAAGCGGAAAACCCTAACTCATCGTGGCAAGAGTCATTTGGACGGGTGGTTCCTTCAATCGTCCCTTCCCACGTTGTCTTCAACTCCCATTTCACAGAGACGTCTTCTTCCAGGTGGGGTGTGTGTGTCTCGGGAGCCACCCGTGCCCCAGCCTCCCCGGGGGACTGCCCTTCTCCAGGACACAGGACTGGAGCAGCGTGGCTGTGCGAGGTGGGCTCAGAGCGGCCTGGAAACGCCTTTGCTCTCTCTCTCCAGGGAGACAAGTCCAGTCCGTGAAGAGGGGCTGTCCCCGCCGGCTGCAGGTTCTCAGCCCACTTTTTTTTTTTACACTGGCGTGTCTCTGGGCTGTCCTCTTTCCCTCCACTGGGATTTGGAATGGCACCGTCCAACACGGTGGGCTGGCAGGGGCATGGAGCTAGAACTCGGCTGGGGGACACAGCCCCAGTCCTACATCCTCCTCCTCCAGCCCTCAGCCGTGGGCACCCCTGGTACCACTCCTGACCCTGTGGCCCCATCTCAGCCTCTGCCTCTTGGGCTAATTCCACTTCATCCTCTGGGTCTCCCCTTAAATATGCCTTTCCTCCAGGCAGTCTTCCTTGATCTGCTCTTGTCTAAGGCGTACGTGCCCGCTATGTGGCTATTACCGCCGCAGTTTCTAAAATCAGTGCTTCCCATACCTTCCAAGAAGGCTTGTTCATTTCCATTCCTCCCTCCAGTCTGGGAGCCCTGGCTGAGGGCGTGGCAGCTTAGCCCCGTTTAGTGGCACAGCGGCAGTGTCTGGCTGCCACGTGGTGGGCACTGGACACAAGTGCTGACTTAAGGCTCCCCAGGCCCCTTCCCCGTGTCGTGGGTTCCTCGCAGCGCCCTCCCGCCCGACCTCTGCCAGGCCGCAGGTGCCTTCCTCAGGGCCACAGCCCCAGAGCGGGGAGTTCCTATTTGCGAAGAAGCAGAGGCCTCCTGGGACACAATCCATCCCTTCCGAGTCCAGGGAGGGTGCACCCGCTGCCTGTGGGCTTGTCCTGGCTCAGAAAGGGTTCCCTGCCAACCTTGTGGTCAGTGTGGGGGCGGGCTTCTCTGCAGGGATTGACGTCGGCTCCTGGTAACGTTGATCCTCCTACTTAGCATTTTACACAAGGTTTTCCGTTGGTTCCTGGTAGCCGTCTAGAAGGTAAGTGACGGTGGAGCTCAACCATGGTGCCTGGCACCTGAACACTTCACACCGGATAACTGGAGAAAAGGGCAGGGTGTTCTCTCTGGCTTTCCCCGCCCTTCTCCCTGAAGTGATCATCACACCTTGCAGGAACGCAGGCCCTTCCTTGAAGTGGGTCAAGGGCAGGACGAGGGAGGGGCATCCCCACGTGAGAAGCTGAGGGACACAGGGAGGCCCAGCCCTGGGCCGTCACCATTAGGTCACTCCTTGTCCTGTTACGTCCTCCATGGCTCTCCACCTGCATCAGACAGCTGTGAAACTCACTTGACCTTGTCTCTTAGTGTCTTCATTTCTGTAGGAAGATCCTGGGTCAGTAAAGCCCACATTAAACTCCTCGGTAGGCTTTTGTCTTGTTCCTCGGTGTTCTGCTTGTGGGCCTTTAGCCGCAAACCCAAGACGGGTAAAGGAAAGCGTGATTTTCCTCCTGTCCCACGTGGCCAAGGTCATTCTCCAGAATCAAGTTCGAGTGTGGCATTCACGCAGAACACAGATCTGCCCAGGAAGTTGTCGTCCAGGATGGAAACACACGAGATCTTCAGATCACTTGTGAAAATGCACACCTTTTGGAAGCGAAGCGAAGGAAAACCAGCTGAGTCCTGAGAAGGCTGGAGCGGTTCCTTCCAGATCTGGCTGCAGCTGCCTGAGCTCCCGGAGGTCAAGGGAGGCTCGGCAGGGCCGGGCCCGTCCTGGGGATGTCCCAGGTGAGAGCAGCTACAGGAGGCAGAGTGCAGAAAACCTCATTCAAACGTGATGCTGGACTTCTCAGAACGGAGTTTCTTGCGGCAGTTGGGTTTGTGAGACGTAGTGCGATCCAGGCACCCTGGCCCCAACACTGTCGCTCATTTCTGCTGTGAACGGGGGGACCACATGTTCTTCCAGCCTGTGGGTGGCCAACTCTGCCTACTGAGAAGTGTTCCTCCTCCTTCATCCCCTCCATTGCTTTGACCAATGGACTAGGGCAGAAGTGATGTCACCTGACTTTCTGAGCCAAGGCCTCACGGGCAGTGCAGAATCTGCCTTTGGCAGGAACCCAGCCTCCAGCCATAGGAGCCACAGCTGGGGGCACACTGAGACTCCCCCTGCAGAGCCCCGGCAACTGCACAAGGATGAGTGCCGAGGAACAGGGGGCCAGGCAGCACAAGGCCCACCTGCCAACCACAGGAGGCATCAGGGAGCGGGAGCAGACCCCACCTGGACACTGGCCACAGATGGCCCTGGGATCCTGAGCACATACATGGCGGGTGCTTCAGGGTGGGCTGGGTCCCCATCAAACACAACAATCCCTTTGGAGACCCAAAATATCCCTTCTTCACTTTTTCTATGAGGAGGAAACTGGGAATGGAACCATGCAGGTCCTTGAGTCCCTGCCGCCACACCACTTGTCACGGGGCCACTTTGCCATCTGCACAGGCCATGGCAGGGTGAGCGGCAGCTCCCAGAGCTGAGAGACTCCTGGGATAGAGGACTCCCCTTCTCAGCTGAGACAGTCCTGGTGCATCGCCCTGACTGGGTGTCCGTGTCACCGGGCACTCGGTCCTAAGACAGGAAGTCCCAAGCAAACCAGCACAAGGCCATGACCCTGGTTCCTAGCACTTCACTGCTGCAGGCCCTGCCCTTTGTAAAAATACTTAAAATATTCAATGACTGAGCCAGTAGGAAGACAGATAGATACATATTATATACTGAAAGATCCTCGTGGATCGAGAAGTTCTTTGTTTTCCTTCTGGTTTTTCAAGGAAGTTACCAGACTTCCATGGACCCCTAGAGTCGCAGAGGCCCCGTTGCTGCCCCTGCTGGACAGGTTGGCCCTGGATGAAGTCTGAGGTTAGTGGACGAGGAGAACAGGCCGGCGGTGCCCTTTCACCCAGCAGGTTCACCCTCTCCGCCGGGCTTAGCGGCTCTGGGGTCAGTATTGAGAAATCCAAGCCTACTGTGGATTTTCTGCAGGTCCAGCAGGACAGCTGGATGCTACCCGCTGTGGTCAGAGCGGTGAGGGGTGCTGGCTGACAGCTGCTTCCGTGGCGGGGGGCTGCACCCCACAGTTTGCCAGGGCTGAGGACAGAAGTGACCCCATGAGCATCTACGTGCTGGTCTGTGGACAGGGTGAGTCCTGCCTTCCTGGAGGAGGTGGTCCCCAACAGGGAGCCCCTGGGAACGGGGCAGGAAGGAGCAGCACCCGGGAGAGCACAGCCGGATCCTGGGAGCTGCAGTGAGCGGCGGAACGGGACCTCCAAGGCCCCGGCAGGTGGCCATTCTGCCTACGTGATAAAGGACGCATTTCAAACAAGCGCCAGCACTGAGTAGGGGTTGACCTAGCACAGAACCGCTGAGCAACTGCACGTCCTCTCCTCGCCACTCCTGGGCCCCAGCCAGGTGGCTGCTGAGCGGGAGAGAAGGGGTGAGAGGAGCCCACACTTCCTGACAATCTCACACCTGGGGAGGCGCCGTAAGACACATCTTTTGGCAGGTGTTAAGCCTGGTGGTTAAGACGTCTGCATCCCTCCCTGGAGTACCTGGCTCCAGCTTCCTGCTCGTGCAGACTCCTGGGAGACAGCAGTGGTCACTGGGCTGTACATTCTCATCTTTAGGTTGCAGACTACGGAGTTTCTATTTGGATTTATGTGTTTGGGAGGCAGAGAGAGAGCGAGTGCCTCCATCCACTGGTTCACTCCCCAAGTGCCCACAACAACCAGGACTGAGCTAAGTCAAAGTCAGGAGCCATAATCTCAATCCAGGTTTCCCACGTGCACTTCAGGAACCCGATTCCTTGAGCCATCACGGCTGCCTGCCGGCAGGAAGCTAGAGTCAAAGGCTGGAGGCAGGCACCTGACCCAGCTGCTCCACGGGGGCCACCGAGTCTCAACCAACCACTAGGCTCAACGCCCAGCCCAAGACCTTGCTTCAACAACAAACAGGCTATAAGACTCTGCTTTTCCTTAAGAACAGTCCGGAAGTCACACGCCGTCCGCAGTCGGGGTGGAAGTTCCCCAGAGAAGATAACACAGAATCAACACAAATCCACGCAACATCACAACTCGACACTAACCCGGGAGTCCCGCAGGGCCAACAGACCGCTTCCTCTAGAGTATGATCACCTCCATGGAACACTCGCTCCCCCACACGAGGCTACCCCTCGCGTCCACGGTCCTCTCCCAGTCTACGCCTCCTCCTGATCACTCGTTGGCTGCCCTGATGCCTGATCCGTACAGAGGCAGCCGTGAGCGAACCACGAACGATTCCTTCCCGCTGTGACGCAGGCAGACCAGGGCCTTGCCCGCAGCGGACTGCTGCCCCGAGCCCGAGCACTCACAGCAGGCTGAGGACTCCTTGCTCTTCTCCTTGCAGCAACACTTGAAGCACTTCTTCACGACCTTGTAGAAGTAGGCGAAGACGACGAAGGGGTAGGGGATGTTGAGCCGGCTGCAGTACTCCTGCACCAGAAAGTACCTCTGGAACTTCCACACCTGGTCGTTGTTCTCCTGGACGGTGCCCACGGTGTAGCTGGCGGGGAGACAAGGCCAAGGCATCACTTCATTGCCCTCTACTGCCGTCTTGCTATAACGCTCCTACGGTGCTCGCCCAAGTCCACGCAGGAAATGAGAACCCGACACAGGAGCCTGCACATCTCAGATCCAGGCCAGCTTCAACCCACGAGGGACCGAAGTGTGCTTTTCCTCATAAAAGGATATATTCAGTGAACTTTAAGATTATTTTTACTGCAAGATCTTTCAAGGATTCTCACTGTTGCCTGTCACACACAGAGGCCCAAGCTGTAGACGCTCCTAGGAAAAATTTGCCCCTCATCCGTGTTTAACTGTAAACAGTCTGGGAAGACAGTTGGCTAAGATTTACCAAGAGCCTTAAAAACGCTTAGCCCTTTGACCCAACTATTTGACTTCTTGGAATTTAGCCTCCAATAAGAAGAGAGTGAGGGCCGGCGCCATGGCTCACTAGGCTAATCCTCCACCTGTGGCACCGGCACACCGGGTTCTAGTCCCGGTTGGGACACTGGATTCTGTCCCGGTTGCCCCTCTTCCAGGCCAGCTCTCTGCTGTGGACCGGGAGGGCAGTGGAGGATGGCCCAAGTGCTTGGGCCCTGCACCCACATGGGAGACCAGGAGGAAGCACCTGGCTCCGGATTGGCGCAGCGCTGGCCGTAGCAGCCATTGGGGGGTGAACCAATGGAAAAGGAAGACCTTTCTCTCTGTCTCTCTCTCTCTCTGTCTAACTCTGCCTGTCAAAAAAAAAAAAAAAAAAAGATACTGAGAAAACCGTGCAAGTGGCTGCATACACATGGCTGTTGTCACAGCCAGTCTCCCCTCCACCCCAAGGAAAAGAAAAAGCCTACCTGTTCAGTGCTCAAGCATGGGCCCCAAGTTACAGTTCACCAATGTGATGACTCACGCATGCAGCCATTAAAGTTAGGTTTATGAATAACGCCCATGCTTTCAGAGAATGTTTAGGTGAAATCAGCTAGGCTCAGTCTTGTACCTGGGACCAGGCACCACTCCATGAACACGATTCAAGGGAGACCCAGGCAATGACTGATGGCCTCCCACTATAGCAACACCTATCGTGTCTACTCGCTTTCCTAGTGTCACATGGTGACGATGAATTACTTACCTCCTGTGACGGCAAAAGTGTCCGTTTCCTGTTCTAGCCTAAAACTGGTTCCGTGGCGATTTTTCATTTACAAACTAAACCACAATTACAAAATAGCCAACACTTATTCTACACCAGACACAGTTCTGAGCAGTCTGTTAATTGATTTAATCTGCAAACAACTCTACGAGGTATGGTCTGTCGGCACCTACAATTCACAGGTCAGCGAGGGGAAGGGAATCCTCCGGGCCCCTGTGCAGGAAGGGGTGTGGCCAGGATGGACCCCACAGTCCAGCCCAGCGTCTGTCTGTTTCCCCACTTCAGACACCACCTCACAGGGTGGAGCATCTGACTAGACTTCCAGGCATTTCCCATGTGGTGCAATCCACCCATCCAAGACACTTTGGTTGCTACCAGGAAACCAGCCCTCAAAGCCAGAGGAGCAACAATGAGCATCTGAAATCTATACACGAGGGCCAGCGCCGCGGCTCACTAGGCTAATCCTCCGCCTTGCAGTGCCGGCACACTGGGTTCTAGTCCCGGTCGGGGCACCGGATTCTGTCCCAGTTGCCCCCCTTCCAGTCCAGCTCCCTGCTGTGGCCAGGAAGGGCAGTGGAGGATGGCCCAAGGGCTTGGGCCCTGCACCCCATGAGAGACCAGGAGAAGCACCTGGCTCCTGCCATCGGATCAGCGCGGTGCGCTGGCCGCAGCGCGCCGGCCGCACCGGCCATTGGAGGGTGAACCAACGGCAAAGGAAGACCTTTCTCTCTGTCTCTCCCTCTCATTGTCCACTCTGCCTGTCAAAAAAAAAAAATCTATACACGAATCCTCAACAGGGGAGCCTTCGATTCTCCAAATTCTGGGTCAAAGTGCAGAGGCCAAAGCTAAAGAGGACACAAAGGTCATCACGTGACATTGGCCGGGAGACCTGATTCTTGAACCTTCGTAGGGCACAACCTAAGACGTTCCTACTGGAGCTAAGAAGGACCAGAGTCCTAGGGACAATGCTAATCTACACAATCGTGGCGCTGGCTTTGCTGCTAAGCTGGCTTTGCTTATCTCGCAATTGAATGGTGAATGAGACAGCGCTGAAGTCTGCACCAGGTCCCGGATTCTGGGTGAGGGCGGAGTCTTGTAGCAAGGGCTTCCGGAAGAGGGTGAGCCCCGGAAGGAACTCTGGAGCGAGGAGCACCTACCCCATGGCTGCTCCTACACTGAGAGTGGGAAGTGGCTATCTGAGTGCTCTTCCTGCCCGCCCTGCGAGGCAGACTCTGTGGGCGGGAAACAGCCGCTCTGCTCTCTTACACCGAAGTCGCAGCGCGTCTGCTGTTTCCTCCCAATCTAGGTCAGGCTGTCTGGAAGCTGATCCTTAGCATTGTCACCTGCTCTCTCCAGTGCCCGCCGGTTCTGAGGCCCCAAGGGCCTGCCTGCTTCTGCCAGTGGGATGAGAAGGGATGACAGGCATGACCCAGATAAGAAAGTGCAGGCTAAGCCAAAATCTGTCTACCGCTTTGTACCAGAACTAACAGCGCGTTCAAACGACCGTCCCTGGAAGCAACTTCAAATTTCCCTTCTCCAGTTAAAAACCGACTGTAATCATGGCTCAAAGCTCAAACACGCACAGGTGCACCCCAGTGTTGTCTTCTGCCAGGGAATGGATAAATCCTACGAAAGGGAGGACCAGGCAGGGTGCAGAGAGCAGAGGGGAGCAGGCGATCCTCCCTCACTGCCCAGAGAAGGTTCCAGGTTGGAGGAGATTTGCACCTTGGCTGAACTGCTCATTCAGCGTCAGAGAAAAACCTCCCAAATCGTCTAGAATAGAGACTGGCACACTGCAGCCCTGGGGCCAGTTCTCATCCCTGCCCTGTTTTGGTGAGCTAAGAAAAGCAGGTGCCAGGGCTCATCCGGGGCATCTGGCCAAAGCAAAGATCCCAGCCAATGCTTCTAGAAAAGGTGGAATCCCTGACCTTGAAGGCAAGTGCCTGTAAACTGGAGCCTTCCCACTCCTCACTTCAGAGAGCCCTGCGGGGCCCGGCACCACTTCCTCTGGACCTGAGACAATCTAGGGAACACGAGGTCCCCTCCTGCTGGAGCCACAGCTTCTCCAGCCCCTCAGGGACACAGGAGCCCCAGCAAGCAGAAGTCCCCTCCCAGATAAATAGGGAAACCCCAGGGGGTGTGGGTGGGTGGGCTGAGAGCTGTATGCTAAGACCTCAAAGTTACCCTGTGCAGATAATGCAATCCGGGGTTGGCTATGCCGAGGCTGTTCCTCCACTGAGCTCCCCCCGCCTTGCAGCAGCTTCCGAAATGTTCTTTGTGTCTCAAGTCAGCTCTGAGGTCAGCCAAAGAGACGGGCAGGTTCTCCAGGGGAGGCCGATAATGGAGTGCTGCCTCAAAGTGCTTTGCTAAAAATAAGTGTTATACTGTTCAAAGGCTGTTTTCAACCTCTAGAAGGGAGCGGCGGCGCTGTGCAGAGCAGGGCTCCCAGTGCCCGGCAAAGCAAGCATCAAGGCAGCCGAGGGGCCATCTCTGGGGTCCAGGGTCCCCCCTGCCCCATCCCCGATGGTCCTCGCAGGCTTCCGGCCAACCACTGGCCATACAGCATCTCCCCTGGGAGAATTCTGCTATCTTCTCTTTGATGCCACATCTCCAGTGCCATCCTGCGCCCCCGAGTCCCCCCTGACAGCTGCCACGCTGCCTGGAAATGTGCAGTGGCGGCTGGGACCCACCTTCTCACACTACCTGAGCGGGAGAGGATGCGCGTGCAGAAGGCGCTGAACTCCAGAATCCGCACTGAGCCTGGACACGTTCAGTCGTGCAGAGCTCAGCTAGCCTCGCACACAGTGAGATCCAGCAGCAGGTTAAGAAAAGAACGCGGTGACCCAAGAGAGAGGGCTGAAGATTAAGGACATTTCTCATTTATCGTTTGTGTAATTCATCATAAAACTAGATCAAAAGGGAAAATGCCATTTCAACAGTTGCTAGCAAGCCTTCTGGCAAGGCTGAACATCCTTTTCTGATTAGGGGGGAAAAGAGAGGAAGAAAGGAGCTCAACGAATGAGGAGGAGGAAATCCCCCATGACGTGATAAAAGGCGAAGGGAGAGGACGAATTCAGGAAGGAGACTCGATCCAGAAGAAGCACCACGACTCTAACAGGCTTCCCGCAGGTCAGAAGGTGGTCACGAGACGGCATCACGGATGGAACAGAAACCGCACACAGATGCCCGGCAACAAATCAACAACCTGCCAGACCTAGGAGAAAACAGGAGGCCTTCCTGGAAACCATCTATCCTGCAGAAAGTGGAGATCCTTTTATTTCTCCCGGATGGTAAGGTGTCGTTTTCCCCTAAATGATTCCACAAGTGAACACCAGTGCAATAAAATTCACAAGATTTCTGGTTTTTTGGAAGGAAAAAGAAAAAAGGATTCAGAAGATGAGCCTGGGGCTCCTCCGTTGGATTAAATATACAAGAAAAAGCCAAGAAAGTTTTGAGTAAGAATCACGAGGGGGAACTGGTGCAACAGATGTAAAAAAAAAAAAAAAAAAAGTTTAAAAAAAAACTTCAGTAATTAAAGCCATTTGGTAGTAAAACCAAAATAGAAAGACTGGTCAAAACAGAACAGAATGCAGAGTGTGCGGGGGGGAAAAAAAAGTGTGGAGGCTGGAACAATGGCAGAATCTTAAAACAAACGGAAATCCAAGAAACGTCAGCTCCAGCTGGCTTCCCATCCAATGGACGCTTCCTGCAGGCTTCGCACGCACTCCACGCACTTTGGGTCGCTATCTCGCCAGCCCTGGAGGCGACCCTGACTGCTGTGCCCTCCTAGCACCGCCTGGTTCCCCTCTCATCCTGCAGCACCCAGGAAGCCAGCAGCAGCCAATGGTCAGAGGCAAGCAGCGACTTCCGCCCCCCGACTTTGGAAGTTTCGGGCGTTGCTAGCAGAGGAGTGCCGTGAAGACCACACCCCTGTGTGAAGCCCAGAAATCTCCACCTGCAGCCAAAGGCCCAAGCTCCCTAACAAACCGCAAAGCACCCTCCACAGCCCAGCCGCCTGCTGCCGGTCCTCCCTCCTGGCGGGGGTCGGCTGATCCCTCCCCAGGCCGGCGTCTCCTCTCCAACCCCCCGGGCTCCAGGTGGACAGCCCACTGAGCACTTCCACGCCCAGCACCAGGCTCTCTGTGCTGCTTACGTCATGTTGTTTGCACATACATAGCCGCTACCTCTTCCCTTAACAGCAGGGACTGACTCTGACTCCTTATAACAAATTTATTTTATAAATTGATTATAATAAATATTATCATCAATAATTTATGATAATGAGGCTATACCTACACAAAAGCGATCGATGATCAAATGAGGCCGCGTCGATGAACAGGAGCCACCAACGTCATGATCGTCTGCCCCCTCGGTCCTTTCCCCCCATTTCAGGAGCCCCGAGTTCGTCCTGAGGGGCTTCTCTTCTTTTACGCTTCTGTGTATTCAAAATAAACTCACACTGCTCCTAAGATCTCACGGTTTTACTCTTGGAAAGAGTCCCCGATCCTTGTCAGAACAGAGCGAGAGGGAGCAGGAATTTGGCCTCACGGGGAGACGCTAGGTAAGATGTCCATCGCGTTTGACTCCCGGCTTCCACTCTGGCCCCTGCTCCCACTCATGCAGACCCTAGGAGGCAGCTCAAGTGGCCGGGGTCCTGCCGCCTCCACGGGAGACCTGGATTGAGCTTCCAGCTACTGGCTTCAGTCCCCAGCCCGGTCCCCACTGTGGCATGCATTTGGGGAAGAAATTGGCATCAGAGAGCTCTCTGTCTGTATTGCTCAAACAAATAAGTAAAAAACAAATTTAAAAAGCAGTCAGTGGAATGGGTTTATCTTCAGGCTGTGGCAGCTCTGAGCTGATGTGAAGATACTGGGGTTGTTGAGTGACTTTAAATCCATGCTGCGCCTTGGCTGAGCCACGTGGGCCTTTGACAAATAGTTCTGATGTAGGTGTTTCCTCCACTTCCACTGTTGTGCACCACCCAGAGAGTCCCCCAGGGCTGTCCCCTGGGATTCCTTTCCATCGCTGCTAACAGGGCTGCCTGCGTGCACAGTTAAGCTTTTAGACAAATATTTTAATGTGGGGCCAGACAGGGGTCACGGCCTGCAGCCATCAGCTCACAGCGGAAGCCCCGACAGCCTTCACCGGCGTCAGGAGCGCTGCGCTGAGGTCTGGTCCAGGGAGCATCCGGGGCTGTCTCCACAGCTCACAGCCAGGGATTCACAAAGAAAATGCCTCTGGTTTCCATGGGACCAACCCAGGGGGCTCCCCGAGAGCAGGGAGGTCCCCAAACTGCCACACTGGGGTGCTGATGGGGGCAGCAGTGGGGCATGGCCCAGTCGGAAAGAGATGCAAACAGCACCTGACCAGGCCCGCAGGTGCAAGGCAGCCGGCCTTGTGTCTCCTCTACCAGAAAATGACCGTCCTGCCCCAGCTCAGGGTGGCGGTGGTGCTGCAGAGAGATCACGAAAGCACCGTGGTCCTCGTGGATGGCTTTCGTGGACAGCTCACAGCCACAGACCAGTCAATCTCTGCAGGGCCACCAGGGCCTCCCTGAGGTGGACCCAGTTGGTGTACTCCAAAGAGCATGGCCCTGGACTTGCTGGCTTTTTTTCCGCAGATGTATCGGTGGCTGGGTTTCACGGGAACTATCCAGCGTGCGAGGCACAGGCTGATGGGATACATTACCGCTGCAGAATTTGACCCCAAGGCTCCCTCTGTAGCCTCGCTTTCTTGCCCTGCTGCTAATCAGTGACTACCTAGCACCTGCCACCTCTCTGCCAGCTCAGACTCTGGCCTCTCTGATGCCCAGGCGGTGTTGGCATGCCACGATGCTGTCGCCTGCCTGCCGGCCTGCGGGTCAGACAGCCCACAGGATCCTCAGCTTCAGGTTACAGGTAATGAGGGAGAAGACCACTGGGACAAAGGGCCACGGGGCCCTCACAGCCCTGGCACCTGGCACAGCACCTGTGAGAAAAGCTTTGCCAATCCGCTAGTCTCATCACTGATACATCTCAGTAAACCACACCCCAGGAAGCCGAGCTCCCAGCCCATAACCAGACAGAGAACTCACGGTGAGGAGGGACCCCAGTCTCCGCAGTCGCTGGAAACACCGCACAGGGCCAGTGCGACACCTCCACCCTCCAGGCTCTCCTGGAGGGAGAGGAGACTGCAGTGGGAGCCCGGGGGTCCCTACACAAGGTGGGCAGGGCATCCGGGGTGCTGGACCCCTTAAAGGGCTAGCGGGAACAATTCAAGAGAAGGCCTGGGGGTGGGACAGGCAATCCAGAGAGGCTGCCAGGTCACCCCAGAGGGAGGAGCACCGGGGTGCTTGCCGGGGGACAGATGGCCAGGGAGGAGCCTGTGTCCGGAGACCAGATCACGGGCAGCCCTGCAGGGAAGCTGTAGTCTGAAATTTACCCAGAAAGCCATGGGGAGAGGCTACCACCCTTGCAGAATTTTAAACAGAGCAGTGCCATCTGAGACACATCACTGACCACAGAGGTGAAGGCGCACAGGAAGACACGGGTGGGACACAGGAGACCCGATGGCCCCTTTGCTGTGTGCAGTCCTCAGAGGCCCGTGGCCTTGCCTGGCCTGAAGACAGGTGCATGGTCCTCAGTCCAACCCTCGGGGGGAAACGTGACAACTGCCTTCCCCTTGTTTCTTTCCTAAGTTACGTAGGCAGTGCATGATCACCGTAACATGTGAAATGTACACTCGACTTTCCAAGTTCTTGTTTGTATTGCCAGGAAATAAGATTCTACCACCAAATTCTTCTTCATATTTTACAACACGACACCCTCCCACGTCAACACTGTGCTTCTTTTAGGAGCTGCACCATGATCTGTTGTGTAGCTATAACACAACGCACTCGACCCTTCCCCTAGCTGGTTACACCCAGCAAGATCTCTGCACACGTGTCTTCACGCGGAGTCCCAGGCGCCAGGGTGGGGTCCACGGCTTGTGCAGCTTTTTCCTTAGTATTTTCAGACGGCTTTCTGGACAGGGAGCGCCCATTCATGCCCCCAGCGGGAACGCCCACTTCCCAGCATCCTCTGCTCATCAGATAGCTCAGAGCCAGCCCTGCATGGCTGCTTCCACCTGACGTTTCCAAGGCACGAGGCTGAGGTCCCTTCACTGTATTTATTGGCGTTTGGAACATTTTTGGGTGGCAGCTAACTGAAGTCTGACTGCGTTCACTGCAGATTCCGCACCCCTGGGTCCCGTAAACGTGAGGAACCTTGGAGAGGAGTGAGCTGCACTGCCCGCATTCCGGCAGCCACCACGCCTCCCCCCGGGGCCCCTGGGAAGGCTTCTAAGCAGGGGGTGGACTACAGGGCGTGGGCTTGCTGGGGCTGGTCACAGGTGCTTGGTGTTACACAGAAGGCACAGCCTACAGGGACACCCTGCACTTTGTACTGCGGTCCCTTTAAGGTCCCCGGCCCCTCCGGCCCCCTGCCCCACCAGGACACGCACCCGAACATGGCGACCAGCAGGTTGACCAGCAGGATGTTGGTGGAGAGCATGTAGATGCACACCAGGGGGATGGTGATCCACTCGGGGAAGCGCGGCGCGTTGTGCTCGTCCAGCTCCACGCACAGCGGCTTGGACTCGTTCCCGCTGAAGGTGCAGTGCGCAAAGTCATACGTGGTACCTGGGGCGTGGGACCAAGAGGCCACGTGAACCGTCGCAGGCCCTGCCACACGAGGTGTAACCTTAGACCCATGGTGCCCCCCGCCTCCACAACGGATCTCCTGAGCCGCTATGAACCCAGGACGTGGGTGAGATCGGGATGAAAAGGAAGGGCCAAGTGGGCACGCCCTGTGCCTGCAGGGAGCGGCCGACCATCAGCCACACAAGTCTAGAGTTTCGGCCATGACGAGTGCTAAGTAGCACACACACGCGGCGCTCTGTGGGCATCGACTGAGTCGGCTGCCCCGGGAACAGCATTGCTAGGAAAGGAGGGTGCAAACCAAGAGTAGCGGATGAGCAGAAGCCAAGTACATAAAATAACGGGGAGCGATGGGTCCTGGAACTCCCAGCAGAGGCGATGGCACATGCAAAGGTCCTGCGGTGGAGGCAGGGCTGGAAATGCCCACAGAAGTGGCAGAACGAGATGCGCCGTGACCCGACATGCGAGATTTTTTAAATCTTCATACTGAAAACCCCAGGGAAGCCATTAGACTGTGGCAAGCGGAGAACCACACATCAGATGCTCTTTGTTAACAGCGTCTGGCCACGGCACAGATCAGAGGGAGCAGAGAGGGCCGCCAGGAGGCCATGCTAATGGCCAAGCAGACAGGGCACTGGCGGTGGACCTGGAAGAAGACAGCTGATGTCAGAGACGCACGTGGGCTGACATCACCAAAGCTAGGTGATGGCTCGGACCTGTGGGACGGCATCGGGGCCGAGTCTGGGACAACACCGAGGCGCGGACACACACGTCTGTGTGCCCGGCAGGGAGCCCTGCAGAGGCACGGATCTGCAAGGGAGGTCCAGCCCCTGCACCTGGACGTGGTGCGGGCATCAACAGCTGGCCTCTCCGGCTCGCTCCAGGCCCTGCTGTGAACATGGCACCGTGTGGGGCTTACCCGTCACAGAGCAGAGACACAGAGAGGCGGCAGCAATTCCCAAGGGCACACAGCACATTCGTGGCCAGCCAGGACATCAACCTGGCCGCCCCTTGTCCCTAGACCCCCTGTGTGCATCCACCCATGGCACGCAGACTGGGACAATGAGGAGGTGCCTGCCCAAGACCACACAGACAAGGGCTGTTTCTAGGCTCTCGGACGAGGCTTTTTGCAGCAGAAGGAGCCAGAGGGAAGCCAGGAAGCCACGGGCAGCAGAGAATCACACCAAGGGAAACCATGAGCAGCGGGACGGCTTCGCCTGTTTGTTGGAACTGTGCATGGATTTGCACACACCCCACGCCGCCCTACGTGAGCTGGGAATGGCGGCTGAAAGCCGTCCGGGCCGCCTGATATTAGCCTTGCTCCAATCACGAGCTGGTGCTGGATGAACAGTGGGAGCTTAATTCCGCGTTCCGTGTGCATCTTTCTGCACTGCCCTCTGTGAGTTAAGTGGCCTCCTGGTCACTGTTAGATCTGCGAGTGCAACTCACAAGGCTCGTTTCTGAATGAAGGTGGCCCGTGACCTCCGATTGCCACGGTGCATTGAAAATAGGAGAGACGCTGTCTTTCCCAAAGGTTTAAGAATTGACATGGCAGATACACGTCTGCACGGCTGATATAAAATCTCACTGGGGGGGGCGGCACAGTGGCATAGCGAGTTAAGCCACTGCCTGCTATGCTGGCATCCCACATGGGCGCTAGTTCGAGTCCCGGCTGCTCCACTTCTGATCCAGCTCCCTGCTAATGCACCTGGGAAAGCAGCAGAAGACAGCCCAAGTCTTTGAGGCCCTGCACTCACATGGGAGACCAGGATTAAGCTCTTGGCTTCAGCTTGGCCACTGCAGCCATTGAGGAAATGAAGCAGCAGATGGAAGATTGCTCGGTCTCTCCCTCTCTATATAACTCTGTCTTTCAAGTACATTAAAAGAAATATTTTTTTAAAGATTTATTTATTTATTTGAAAGGCAGAGATATAGAGAGTAGAGGCAGAGAGAGAGGTCTTCCATCTGCTGGTTCACTCCCCAGATGGCTACAATGGCCGGAGCTGTGCCGATCCAAAGCCAGGAGCCAGGAGCCACGAGCCACTTCTGGGCCTCCCACACAGGTGCAGGGGCCCAAGGACTTGGCCCATCTTCCACTGCTTTCCCAGGCCACAGCAGAGAGCTGGATCATAAGTGGAACAGCCGGGACTCAAACCGGCACCCATATGGGATGCCAGCACTACAGGCAGTGGCTTTACCTGCTACGCTACAGCACCGGCCTCATAAACCTTTTTTCAAAAAAAAAAAAAAAACAACAAATTCTCACAGAGCAGCAAAGAGAAGCTTCTGAGGGACTCATTTCCAGAGCCTGGGACTGGGACTCAGTCTCTCTCCAGGCTCCTACGCCGTGCTCAGAGGGTCAACCACGGAGGCTGGCTCGGCAAGAGTCGCCCCTCCCACCTTACCGTCCACGTCGCTGGGCACCTGGCCGAACATGGCCAGGTAGGGCTCGTAGATGACCGAGCGGAAGATCCACCGCCAGCGGTGCTCGTTCTGCCGCAGGATCCCTTGCCGGGCCACGCCAAAGGCCACCATCCACACCGCGAAGAGGAACAGGAAGAAGAATACGTCGATGAGCTGCCGAGGGAGGGCCGTGGGACGGGGTCAGGGCCGAGCCCCCGGGGGCATCCGCTCAGCCCGGCCTGCCCAGCTGACCCGAGTGGGGACCAAGCCCTCGGGGGCCGTCCACTCAGCCTGGCCTGCCCAGCTGACCCTGAGTGGGGACCGAGCCCTCGGGGGCCGTCCGCTCAGCCCGGCCTGCCCAGCTGACCCCAAATGGGCACCAAGCCCTCGGGGGTTGTCCGCTCAGCCTGGCCTGCCCAGCTGACCCCAGAGGAGGGACAGGTCCCGAGCCCCAGGAGTTCTAGGCCACCCAGGGGTCCACAAGCTAGTTCCGAGAAAGGCCACCATCACCTTGGGCTGCTAGACGTCCAATTTCCGGAACTGAACCCCCCTGATGCACTTCTGCTTGCCGGTCTCCAAGCCAGGAGGCCGCAGAGGCAGAGCCCCGGCTAAGGAGCGGGAGGACGTGGGGCTGGACGACACCTCAAGCGGCTCACACCCCTCACACCCCGCATGATCCCCGCAGGCTGACTGCTTTAGCGAGGTAGACGCCATCCTTGCTAGACAGAATGAGCAGCTTCGCTCTGGCACACTCAGCACACTTGATGGCAAGTGGCTGCCTCAGACATGCCAATGGAAACCACAACTCAGGGGCTGGCACTATGGCGTAGCGGGTAAAGCCACCACCTGCAGTACCAGCATCCCATATGGGCGCCGGTTCAAGTCCCGGCTGCTCCACTTCTGATCCAGCTCTCTGCTAATGTGCCTGGGAAGGCAGTGGAAGATGCAAGTCCTTGGGCCCCTGCACGCACATGGGAGACCTGGAAGGGGCTCCTGGCTTCAGATCAACACAGCTCCGGCCACTGCAGCCAATTGGGGAGTAAACCAGCGGATGGAAGACCTCTCTCTCTCTCTCTCTCTGTCTCTCTCTGCCTCTCCTCTCTCTGTGTAACTCTTTCAAATAAATAAATAAATCTTAAAAAAAAAAAAAAGGAATGAAAAGGACAACTCAGGGAACCTCAGCGTTGGAAAGGAGCACCCTGGTGAGCGAATCCGAGCACCCGTCTGACTGCAAGGCTGAATCGGCCCAGGAGAGTCACCGCATGGGGGGGGGGGGCGACCCTTTCTGTTGCACCTGTAAGACAACTCTGCCGCCCTTCTCCCCACATCTACGTTACATGGATATGGGACTCAGGTCCCAACTCTCACTATGAGCCTAGCTCACTGCTCATCTTTTGCCTTCAACGACGCCACCATCTCTGGACTCAACCTTCCACATCTTTACAATGGGCATGAAGTCCCTCCCCGGGCTTGTGCTCTCAACAAGGCTCAGGTGAAAGGAGGCTACGAAGCGTGAGGGCTGAGCGAGGTGTTGAGCAAGGCGCTGACGGACGCTCACAGCCGTCTTTCATTACACGTTCATCAAAACGCAAATCACGCGGAGTGGGAAACGCCACGGGCACACTGCCCGGGCAAAGCCCTCCCAGCGACACACGGAGGGACGGGGGGCGCTGGCTGGAGCAGGGGGCCCGGCCCCTCACCATCCTCTGCAGCATGATGATCTTGGGCCCCAGGTTTCTGCTCACGGTGAAGATGTGGATCAGCCTCAAGGTGAAGATGATGTAATCCAGGCAGAAGATGACGCGGCCCGAGTACAGCGAGCTCTTGTTGGAGGGGTGAAGCCTGCGGGGAGAGGGGGCGCAGGGCGCGGGAGAGACAGCCAGCGCGTCTCCAGGTTTGCTCTGGACAACTCGCCAACCGTCAGTTCAGCCGGGAGGCCGAGCGTGCAGGAATGGCCGGACCACTGCCCACCAAAGCTCTCGGTCTCCTGCCCAGACACGGACGGCGAGGACATCGCACAAAGAACAGCTCCCAGAGGTCCCGGGCCCATCAGCACCCCCTCCTCAAACAGGAACCCCGCGGGCTCCCAGGCCCCGCCCACCCGCCGCCCAGCCACTTGGGAACTGACCCAGCCAGCCTCTCCCTAGGGAAACTCACCCTGTCCACAGCACATCATTCATTAGCTAACCACCTGCCAACCTGCTTTCTAACTGGAATGATCTAGAAGGCACGCACCTCTGCAGAAAGGAGGCGTCGGGGGGGAAGTGGAGTCCCCCCTCCCAGACCCCAGGGGGAGCACCCATCTCGCTCTTGGCGGGGGGGGGGGAGGGGTAAACAGCCAGGGTTAAGCTTCTCTGAAAGTGACCCCACGCTAACTCCTTGTGAACATCCACCGGCCCTAGTGCCAAGTTCCTGGGGGAGGCGGGGCTTGGAGCCACGGGAGCCACGGCGCGGAGCACTCCCCAGTCTCCCCACCACGCGGAACACAAGCTGCTCTCCGCCTTTGCTGCTCACTCCAGACTGGCTGTTCTGATCACACGCTCCGGCTCTGGGTCGGGAGGGGAAGGGCAGGTGCCACAGGAATATCTGAGAAACAGCTGGGGAAGGGCAGGTGCCACAGGCGTATCCGAGACACAGCTGGTGCTGTCAGCCCGACCCCAGTTCACATCCTCATCATCCCCTACTCTGGGGCTCTCTCCTCAGAGCCTCTAAGAACAGAGAGAAAAACCGAGATGGCCCCTTGGCAGTGACAGGTCTGGGAGGACGGGAGACGGAGACGGTTTTACGCTGACCAAGCTCCATCTCCGAGAAGCGGAGCTAGAGGTGCTCTGTGAGGATCGCTAAGAAGGAAGCAAAACGATGGGCCTCCTCTGGACTCAAGGTGGCCGGGGCGGGCAGTACACACAGTGGCTGGGTCCCGCACCCCAGTCAGAGGGCCAGGCCCAGGCCCCAGCGCTCTCCCAATTCCAGCTTCCTGCTAACGCAGACCCTGGGAGGCAGCGGCGGTGGCTCAAGTACCTGGGCTCTCCCCACACGTGAGATGCACAATGAGTTCTCAGCTCTGGGCTGCAACCTGGCCCAGCCCCAACAACTAGAAGGCTGTGGGCAGCGGGCCAGTGGACGGGCACAGGTTCTCCTCCTCTCCCCAGGTGTGTGTCTGTCTCATCCCTAGGGGCCAGCACTGTGGTATATCAGGTTAAGCCACCTGCTACAACACTAGCATCCCCTATGGGTGCTGGTTTGAGTCCCGGCTGCTCCACTGCCGATCCAGCTCCCTGCTAATGGCCTGGGAAAGTGGTAGAAGATGGTCCAAGTGCTTGGGCCCCTGCACCCACGTGGGAGACCTGGAAGAAGCTCCTGGCTCCTGACTTCAGCCTGGCTCAGCCCCAGCCATTGCAGCCATTTGGGGAGTGGACCAGCGGATGGAAGACCTCTCTCTCTGCCTCTGTCTCTCTGTAACCCTGCTTTTCAGATAAATAACTAAATCTTTAAAAGGATTCAATAGAGGAAGACGCCGCGGCCAACTTACCGGAACACGATCCCTGCTATGAAGTAGAAGAGGCCCAGGGTGTCCATCACGTTCCACAGGTCAGTGAAGTAATTCACCCCGTTCATGTACCACTGTAGCAGCACAGAGAGCGGTGGGCAGGGCGTCAGCTTCCACCGCCTCCCGGCCTTTCAACCTCTGTCACTTTTGTCCACAGCCTTTTGGGCCAACCACGCGCCCAGTGAGCATGCATGTGTCCCCACCACCCCAGGGGAGTTGGAAAGTAGGTGGCGTGTGGGCTGTTCAGTAATCCAGGAGCTGCTGGCAACACCAAGAAAGAGGATCCACGGATCCTTACTGTTTTCAAGATGGAACAGTTGGCCCTGTGCGGGTCACCATGTACAGTAGCAGAAGGCGTGCACTGCACAATTCAGGAGGATGCCATCCACTGTGCTGTTATCACAGAGGTGTGTGTTTACTTCAAAAATATGTGCCAGCCCCTGAGGTTCCAAATGCCCGGCCAGGCCCCTGGGACACCCGGACGTCGGATTCCCAGGAAGCCAGCGAGCGCCCCGTGGGGAAGACATGTGACATGCATGTAAAATGGAGGGTGGGAGTAGGGCTGAGACAGACGGCCGAGTCAGCTCAGAGAAGGAGGCCCCAGACCTGCTTGTGCAGGGCAGAACAACGGCCCAGAGGCGCCCACAGGAGCGTGGCGCTTTGTCACTTGGCTGAAGGAGCTCCCAGTGTGGATCCGTCTACACCTGGAGAGGAAGGCACCTGCCCCGAGTGGGCTTCGCGGCTCTGAGGCTGAGCGGACCCTGCTGCCCTCAGAGGTGGGAGGGAGGCATGAGAGTGTACCCTTCCTAGCTGGCAAGCACAAGCCACAACTCCAGTGTACACAGCAGGAGGGTGAGGGGATCCTGCACCAGTGAGATGCTACCAGCTCCGCCTCCATCGGCCCAGCTCCTCCTCCATCAGCCCAGCTCCTCCTCCATCGGCCCCAGCTCCTCCTCCATCGGCCCCAGCTCCTTCTCCATCAGCCCAGCTCCTCCTCCATCAGCCCAGCTCCACCTCCATCAGCCCAGCTCCTCCTCCATCGGCCCCAGCTCCTTCTCCATCAGCCCAGCTCCTCCTCCATCAGCCCAGCTCCACCTCCATCAGCCCAGCTCCGCCTCCATCGGCCCCAGCTGGGGCGGAGACTGACCTTGCAGGCCCCTGGGGGAGGCAGCAGGAACTATCCACGTGGCGGGAGCCAGCAGCAGGGGAGACCACCCACCAACAATTGTGGCTCCCAGTGCCTGGTGAGATGAGGGGGTCAGCCCGGGCCACACCTACCACCTGCTCCCCACTGTGGAAGCCTGGCCTCAGAGGCAGGAAGGTGTGGGCAGATGCACAGACCCAGAGCCCTCTTAGCCTGCGGGACCTCTTCTGCGGCTCAGTGCCGGGGTTCAGAGGCACCGGGGCAGGGACAAAGCATTTTTCCAAGTGCAAAGAGGCCTCTGGGAGGAGCAGGACGTGGGGCAAACACAGGGACTCAGTGCCATCCGCATCTCAGAACCAGAGGCTTCGAGGCGCACATGAGGCACGCGTCACGGAGGCCTTACATAAACACCCGCAGCCCGCGTGACGGAGCTCAGAGCCGTTCGGCAGCCGCAGCAGCGCTGACCGACTGCACGGGCTGTGAGCTCCAGGTGAGCGAGCCAGCCAGCACCTGGGTCCAAGCAGGGGCCTGGGCAGGCACCGCAGAGCCCAGCTTTGTGACGGTCAGAGCGCCCTCTACGGCAGGCAGCGTCCTGGGGAGGTTGGAGGGAGGGGTTGAGTCTGGGTTTTCCCCCCTTGCAGGTGTGAGCTGGGTTAATTAAGGCAGAATTCCTTCTCAGCGGAAACCCATCCCATTTCGGATGCCACGGGCCTGAGTCTGCAGACAAGAGGAGCAACAGCGGCCCCTGGTGGCAGATTCCTGCACTGACAGGCACCGGCAGGGCTCTCTTCTGCACATTGGCTCCCAGAGTATAGACTCAGAGTTGAAGCCTGACCTTGACCTCAAATGGCCGAGCAGGACTTGCGCCCTCACTGCTCAGCCTCAGCACAGGAGTTCCCCACACTGTGGCTTCCATCCACAGTACCACTGACTTCCAAGTGGCCCATCCAAAGATAACTCTCAAAAAGAGAAACACCGGACATTCTCAATATCGCCCTCCACTCAGCCGGACCCTGGGGGCATCGCTTCCTCCCGGCAGGCACCAGGAACGACTCACAGCTCACAGTCCCTGCCTTGCATCCTCCTGACCAACACGTCACGCCACCTGCCCCGGGCCCTTCTCCAAGCAAAACAAACCTGTCCTGAGTTTCCCCTTGCATGACCCAAATGCGCCCCTCGGTAGCTAAACATGCACAGGAAATTCATAAGCGGAAGTCTATGATCTCCAGACTCTGCGTGTTACCAGGGCCAGTCCTTGGGGCCAGGCCCACGGACTGCAAGACTGACTGTGCCCGCCTGCCCTCCGTGAAAGCCGCCACCTCTAACCCAGCAGATACCTGCCATCCCCAGGTTATGTCTGCACCGGGCTTGGCACACAGTAGGTGCTCACTAAATATTTGGTGAAACAGTTTGCACACATGGACTTGCTTAAGCCGAGAGGTCTCTCCTGCGTCTTCCACCCAGGCCAGGCTCTGCCTCCCGAAGCCCCCTCTGCTCCCAGGGAGGCCCCTGAGCACCTGCGTGTCAGCAGCTGTGGTCAGGGCCTCCCCCTCTCCCCAGCTTTGGTCTCAGTGGCCAAGACAGCAGCTCCCAACCAGGAGCACAACTCTTGGGGTGACTGATAAAGACCCTGCGTGCATCCATCCAGGAAGCACACACCTGTGTCAGAGCCGTGCCAGCTCCCGCTCCCGGGGCAGCCCCTGAGGATCCCATACGGACAAGACACAAACAGCAGGTCATGTCCCCGGGGGATCGGTGCGAGAGATGGGGGTCCGCATGCCAGGGCAGCATGTGAGACCCCCTCTCCCTATTCCTTACCGCACCCTCTTGCAGTGGGAAATACTCCAAGGGCAGGTGAGGACCCAGTCCCTAACTGTCTTGTTCCCAGACAGCCCCCAAGCCTGGCCCTCACCCTGCCTGCTGGCCAAGTCCAAGGACACTTGGTTCCTTCAGGCATCTGAAGAAACCATGGCTGCTGCCTGTGACACCGGCACCCACGTGGACACTGGTTTATGTCCCAGCTGCTTCACTTCCGATCCAGCTCCCTGCCAACGCACCTGGGAAAGCAGTGCAAGACGGCCCAAGTGCTGGGGCCACTGTACCCACGTGGGAGACCCCAGTGAAGCTCCTGGCTCCCGGCTTCAACCTGGCCCAGCCTGGCTGTTGTGCCCGTCTGGGGAGTGAAACAGTGGACGGAAGATCTCTCTCTCTCACTCTCTCTCTCTCTCTCTCTCTCTCTCTCTCTAGCTCTGACTTTCAAAATAAATAAACCTTTAAAAAGGAAGGAAGGGAGGAACCATGAAGTGGGAGAGAGAGGATTTGCCAGTGGCTCTGGAAGGCAGAGCCTGGCTCCTGTGAGGAGGCAGAGACACCTCCTGTCCCACACAAATCCTGCATCCATGCGTCCTTTCTTTCAAGACGTACCCACTGAGCACCTGCGGTGTGCCAAGCACGGCTCCTCTCCCGTGGGTTTATGCACGTGCGTGTGCACATGTGTGCACATGTAAGCTTGTGTGTACATGTGTGTACATGTGAGCTTGTGTGTGCACGTGTGAGCTTGCATGTGCACATGTGAGCTTATGTGTGTGCATTTGTGAGCTTGTGTGTGTGCCCACATGAGCTTGTGTGTATGTATGTTTAAACTTGTGTGTACACATGTGAGCTTGTGTGTGCATGTGTGTACGTGTGAGCTTGTATGTGTGCACATGTGAGCTTGCGTGTGTACACTGTGAGTTTGTGTGTGCATATGTGTACATGTGAGCTTGTGAGTGTGCCCACATGAGCTTGTGTGTATGCATGTTTGAGCTTGTGTGTACACACATGAATTCTGTGTGTGCACATGTGAGCTTGTGTGTGTGTGCACGTGCACACACTCACGCCTCATTTCCCCACTGGGCTCTGACTCCCTGGTCTCTCTGTTCAAGGCAGAGACCACCTGTAGACAGCTGACTGGCTACTGTGCTGTGTTCGGCTCTGGTTCCCACACCTGTACACGCCTGTTCTAGAAACCTCTGCCTCCCCACCCGATCCACTGCAGCCCATAGAGCGCATGTTCATGGGTTTGACTCCACCCACCAAGGACCACGAGAGGCCTGAGAGAACCCCTGGGGGCCCAGTGGCGTCTCCCGGGGGCGGTGCTGGGAAGAAGCCCATACAGAGGCGTGGCTGCCCCTCAGTCTTCCAGTTGCCACAGGCCAGGCCCAGTCCTTAGCGGGTCCTCCACCACGGGGACACACAGTGATGTGGCCATCCCCAGGCCACAGGCAGCAAGACGCAGCCGGCCTCCGAGAGGGGACGGGTCCCTCCACTCCCCTCCCCTCCCCAGCCCCTTCCTTGCTTGAGCTATGGGGGGACACTTGGGGGGACACTGTCTGTTCCCCTCAGTCACCGGGGAGTGGGATGGAGGACAAGGAGAGCCAGGCTGGGTGCGCGGCAAGGGCGGGCGGCACGTGCCTCATTCACAGGAGACAGGGACGGCCCTCCCCTCCCCCTGGGCTCGGCACATCCTGTTGTCGGCCAGACTCCCCCTGCTGTCCGGGCCCAGTCTCCCCCTGCTGTCGGGGCTCAGTCTCCCCCTGCTGTCAGGCCCAGTCTCCCCTGCTGTCGGGGCTCAGTCTCCCCCTGCTGTCGGGGCTCAGTCTCCCCCTGCTGTCGGGCTCAGACTCCGCCGCTGTCGGGCCCAGACTCCCCTGCTGTTGGGGCCAGTCTGCCCTGCTGTTGGGGCCAGTCTGCCCTGCTGTCGGACCCAGTCTCCCCCTGCTGTTGGGGCCAGTCTGCCCTGCTGTTGGGGCCAGTCTGCCCTGCTGTTGGGCCCAGTCTCCCCCTGCTGTCGGGCCCAGACTCCCCCAGCCTCACTCCTCTTCGCCCCAGTGGGACATTTTCCTGCCTTTGCCACCATCATCCACTAACTCAACACGAGAAAGCCAGGAGGGCAGCATGGTGGCGGCGGCCCCCTCAATCCACACCTGGACGCCCTGAGCCCCAGAATCCACACTCTGACCTTGTCTGGAAACGGGGGCACTGCAGATGACTAAGCAGTGCTGAGTCACCCCCAGTGTCCTGACAGCACATACAGTGGGGACTCACACAGACACAAGACGGGGGCTGAGCGAGGCACCGAGGGCCGAGGAATGGCAGAGACCGCCAGCGAACCCCGGAAGCTGGGGTGAGGCCCAGGACAGTGCCCCTCACAGCCTTCCCAAGAGCCAGCCCGGCCCACACCTTGGTCTCAGACTTCCGTCTCCAGAAGGTGCAGCGTGTGGGGCTCTCATGAGGCCGAGAAGAAAGGGCCTAACCCTCCACCTCCATGCAAGCTCACTTCCTGTGTGTCCTCGGACCCCGCCGCACCACACCCACGGTGGCCGCCACTGATGAGGCAAGACCCCTCCCTGCTAAGAACACACAGACCCTCAGCACCCTTCTCAACACGGGACTCCTGGAGCACCCACACACACACACAGACCCTCAGCACCCTTCTCAACACGGGACTCCTGGGAGCACCCCCACACACACACACACACACACAGACCCTCAGCACCCTTCTCAACACGGGACTCCTGGGAGCACCCCCCCCCACACACACACACACACAGACCCTCAGCACCCTTCTCAACACGGGACTCCTGGGAGCACCCCCACACTGCTGTACAAACAGGTTTTATCAGAGTCGGCGTGGCAGTGTAGACCAATTCAGGATTCCGACACTAGTCACGGACTAGGGCAAGAGTCACATTCTCCGCTCTGCCAAGTCTCTCACGGCGCCCGGCCAGCAGCCACCTGCAGGACCAGTGCAGCTGGGAGGTTGGGTTCAGACGGGACAACGGCAGTGACAGCAACAGCTGGTTAAACACCAGCCTGTGGAGCAGCGGCTTCCCACAGTGGTCCGCGGCCAGCATCCTCCCCCACCAGCACCGTTCTGCTTCCAGACACACGAACCAAGCACCTGCGACGTGCAAGGCCTGGGCGAACTTTTGGATTCAGTGGTGATGCGGTGGAGTGGGTCAAGGCGCTGCCTGCAGTGCCGGCAAGCCCTGTTGGAGCGTCGGCTTGAGTCCTGGCTCCGCTGCTTCCACTCCGGCTCCCTGCTAATGCGCCTGGGGAAGCAGAGGACGATGGCCCAAGAGCCTGGGCTCCTGTACCCACGTGGGAGACCTGGATAGAGTTCAGACTCCTGGCTTCGGCCTGGACCAGCTCTGGCTGCTGCGACCACTGGGGAGTGAGTTACTAGATGGAAGATCTCTGCTCGCTCTCTCTGTCTCTCTCTCTGTTACTGCATTTCAATTAAAACTGAAAAAGTCTTTTTTTAAAAAATGATGAGAGGCTGGCATTGTGGCGCAGCAGGTTAAGTAAGCAATGCCCGCGAGATCGGCATCCCATAGGGGCACCAGTTCAACTCCCAGTGGCTCCACTTCTGATCCAGACCCCTGCTGATGACCTGGGAAAGCAGCAGAGTTCCCAAGTCCTTAGGCCCCTGCACCCACTTGGGAGACCCGGGTGAAACTCGTGGCTCCTGGCTTAGGCGTGGCCCAGCCCCAGCCATTGTGGCCATTTGGGGAGTGAATCAGTGGCTGGAGATCTGTGTGTGTATGTGTGTGTGTGTGTGTGTGTGTCTCCCTCCCTCTCCCTACCACTCTGCCTTTCAAATAAATAAATCTTTTAAAAACACGCTGGAGAGAAGATGCCAAAAACTGAAGACCCCAAGAACCTGCAGAAGAGCACCTTGGGTAACAGGCTCACCCCGAAGCCGCTGGCGGGGGTGGGGCTGATCGGATGACTTTTGCTCTACTCCCTGCAGCACTAAGATGCTCTTAGCCAGAAAAACGTTCCCAGCTGCCTGGCCCTGGCCCTTCTCCGCCCCAGTGACGGCTCCTGATGGCAGCCGTGGGATGCGGAACACGGCCTCCCTGCTCTGTGCACGCCTCCTTGCTCGTCTCTCTGAGACCCAAGAGTGACTCGGCACTACCAGATCTCATTGCATGGCCAAGACATAGACACCGCGTGTTCACGGGCTGCCGTGACGGCTTACTTGAGGAAAATAAGGGCTTTGGGGGACCGGAAGCAGCTCCCGCTCTTCTCGGTGTGGGGAAGACGCCGCGTGCCCGGCCAACAGGGTGGTGCCTGGGTCCCAGCTGTCCTACCTGCCTCACTTCATCGCAGAACAGGACGAAGACCAGGGCGTAGAGGATGAGCTCGGGGGTGTGCGGCACCGAGTGGAAGTCCATGAGCAGCACGTAGGCGAAGAGCAGCAGGAAGGCGATGTAGAAGACCACGTTCCAGGAGAAGACCACGAACGGCGAGGTGAAGAAGGCCACGTAGTGCCACAGCAGCCGCCTGTGCTTGTCCACGGGCTTCTTTCTGGACGGACACGCAGCGCAGCATGAGTGTCCACGCAGACACGCGTGGCCCCCGCCCCCCCCCCCCCACGGGCAAACCCAGGCCTCCCGGGTCAGAACTGTGGTGAAGACAAACACACGATCCCACCTCTGCCGACTGGAAATCGGACCCGGGGGCAGGCGTGTGGTGCAATGGGGTTAAGCTGCCGTTAGGGAGGCCTGCATCCCGTATCGGAGTTCCAGTCCCAGCTCCTCTGCGTCCTACCCCGCTCCCTAGGAATGTGCCTGGGAGGCAACAGGTATTGGCTCAAGTACTCGGGTCCCCGCCATCCATGCAGGAGATGTGGATGGAGTTCTTGGCTCCTGGACTCTGGTCATTTGGGGAGTGAACCAGCAGATGGAAGATCTCTCTCTTCTTTCTCTCCTCTCTGTCTCTCTCTCTCTCTCTTCCCATCTCCCTACCTCTCAATAAATAAATAATGTTTTTATTTATTAAAAAATCAAACTCAGGCCGGCACCGCGGCTCAATAGGCTAACCTCCACCTGCAGTGCCGGCACCCCGAGTTCTAGTCCCGGTCGGGGCACCAGATTCTGTCCCGGTTGCTCCTCTTCCAGTCCAACTCTCTGCTGTGGCCCAGGAGTGCAGTGGGGGATGGCCCAAGTCCTTGGGCCCTGCACCCCATGGGAGACCAGGAGAAGCACCTGGCTCCTGGCTTCAGATCAGCGCGGTGCACCGGCCGCAGTGCGCCAGCCGCAGCGGCCATTGCGGGGTGAAACAACAGAAAAAGGAAGACCTTTTTCTCTGTCTCTCTCACTGTCCACCCTGCCTGTCAAAAAAAAAAAAAAATCAAACTCGGGGAAATCTAGGGAAGATATCAGACCAAGTGCATAGGCACTAGCACAAACGTGCGTCTGACGTTACCATTGACACAAGGGCACAACACATGGATGTGTACACACACAAACACACGTGAACTGTGTCATTTGACCTACCTAAACGACACAAAGCCGCAGCCCACCAGAGGTATAATGAACAGACACAGAATAATCTTCCAGTTCTTGGTGTCTCGGGAAATCTCGCCATACCACTGCTTGGAGAGGAAATTCTGCAGAGAAACAAGAGGCCGAGGTAATGACCGTGGCCTGGCGGCCGGCCTCCCTCCCAGTCCCACCCTCCCAGAGGACACAACCCCCGAATCAACGTCCGATGCTTTGACACCAGCTACTTGGCTTCCAATGGGCTAGGATACAGCAAGTGAAAATTCTCTTTGGTTTTCAGCATTTTTTTGTCTAGTCAGGGGTAAGTGAACCGTAAAACAAAGGCTGTGTGAGGTCCAAATTCAAAGAACGCATGAATTTTTAACCAGCGCTGATTCCTGTTGTGTGCGTGTAAGCCAGCGTCTTCCTCGCTCTCTTCCCTTCAGTGACAAATCTGCAGGCACAGCCAATGCTGTCTGCAGGGTCCCCAGGGCTCCTGTCTGGAGACAGACACGGGATGCTCTTGTCGGGAAACGGGGAGGAAGCCGGGAAGGGAGCCCCGGCTGCTGTCTCCACCTCCATCCAGACCGCCCCAGGCCCTGATGCTGGGGCACAAAGACCTCCAGGGAGCTGGCAACTGCACCTCGCACACTGCCTCGGAGAGCTGGAGAGGCAGGTGTTGACCAGACCACTGGTCAGGGCCCAGCCGGGCGAGGGGGCGGGCTGGCAGGGAGGGTGGGGCTGGCATGCCCCGCCCCCAGCCCCGGGCTTCGGTCCTTCCCTACAAAATCTGTAGGCTTCCAAGCCCAGGCCAGCTTGCCCTCAGTCTCCCCAGGGCTCCGGTTTCTGGGTCAGCAGTGTGACAGGGTGTGGGGTCTAGGAGGCCACGAGCAGAGCTCGGCAAAGGCCAAGGCAGCCAGCCCAGCCCCCCAGGCACAGCCCGGCCCCAGCGCCCGTCTCATTCCAACCAACTGCAGTGCAGCGAGGCCAACACAGCAGTAGCAAGGCCCCTTCCCTGCGTGTCCCCTGTCACGGCTCTCATGGACGCCAGCCCCGGTGCAGGGCCAAATGGACTTAGTTCGGAAATGCTCAGGTACTTCGGGGCTGCACGGCACAGTGGGAAACCCATGCAGGAGACGGTGGCCACGGGCTCAGGGCCTGGCACTGCTACCTCCCAGCGGTGCCAGCTAAGAGCACGTGCAGAACCTCGCTGAGCTCCGGAGCCCTCGTTAGTGAGATGGGACTGGCATTGTGCAGCCGAAGCGTGCAGTGGCGTGGCTGACAGGTGACAGTCCCTGTGTCCCTTCCCCACCTCTCCCTCCTCACACCTACACCTACACACCCAGTGGGAACCGTGAGCCAAGGCACCACTCCCTTCCATGCAGGCACCTCTAGGCTGGATGCACCCATTTCCCAACAGCTCCTCTGCTGCCATCACTCCCCCTAAAAACCAAGAAAGTAGGGGCCGGCACTGTGGCGCAGTGGGTTAAAGCCCCAGCCTGAAGTGCCAGCATCCCATATGGGCACCGATTCTAGTCCCAGCCGCTCCTCTTCTGATCCAGCTCTCTGCCATGGCCTGGGAAAGCAGTAGAAGATGGCCCAAGCCCCTGGGTCCCTGCACCCACATGGGAGACCTGGAAGAAGCTCCTGGCTCCTGGTTTCCGATTGGCCTAGCTCCAGCCGTTGTGGCCATTTGGGGAGTGAACCAGCAGATGGAAGACCTCTCTCTCTCTCTCTGTCTCTCTCTGTAACTCTGTATTTCAAATAAATAAAAGTAAATCTTAAAAAAGAGAACCGAGACCGGCACCGCGGCTCACTAGGTTAATCCTCCGCCTGCGGCACCAGCACCCCAGGCTCTAGTCCCGGTCGGGGCGCCAGATTCTGTCCCAGTTGCCCTTCTTCCAGTCCAGCTCTCTGCTGTGGCCTGAGAGTGCAGTGGAGGATGGCCCAAGTGCTTGGGCCCTGTACCCCATGGGAGACCAGGAGAAGCACCTGGCTCCTGGCTTTGGATCAGTGCGGTGCGCCAGCCGCAGCGGCCATTGGGGGGTGAACCAACAGCAAAAGAAGACCTTTCTCTCTGTCTCTCTCTCTCACTGTCCACTCTGCCCATCAAAAAATAATAATAATAATAAAATAAAAATATAAAAAGACCCAAGACAGCAACAGCTAACTTCAAGGATGGCGCCCTCATGTGTCACCACGCCAAATCCCTACACAGCCCTCCCTAGGGTCACCATTATCCCTACCTGACAAAGCACCCGGATCCATCACCCCACACCCAGTAAGGGGTGCAGTGTGGATAGAGACACAGCAGTGGGATCCAGAAGCCCAGCTCACAGCTCCAGTTAGGCACTGTTGGCTTTGTGCAAACTCAGAATATTCCTTCTCCTTGAAGCAAGCGTCCCCACAGTGCCTGCCCGCTGCCACCTCCGGTCATCACCCAGCTGCCCCCTGTGGCTTTCTCACTGGAGAAGGGTTTCCTAGTAGTATTGTTTTCTCATGCTGCTGATCGCATTTGCTACAAGCGATCTGCTTCTGGGCCCGTAGCCTGGCGACAACGACTTACCTGGACCCCCGGCTGCGCGATGAAATGCTGGTCTGTGGCCTCCACGGCCAGTTCCAAACAGTTGCTCCCGCCCCAGGCTTCACAGGAATAGACCAGCAGCTGCTCAGCCAAGTCCTCGTCGCTGCTGTAGCACTCTGTGAACAGCTCTGCAGGGACGCCATCAGCAAAGAGAGGAGCTGGAGCCAGGGACGCCACACACACACACACACACACACACACGTGTGCCACTGTCCTTTCCCCACCCCCAGCCAAGCCCTGAATCCAAGAGCAGCCCAGGTGCAGGATCCAGACTGACACGGGCACAGAGACCGCATCACAACTCAGCCCTTCACTGAGCAGAGAGCTGCCCTGGGGGTCCCACACCCACAGCTCCATCCTACAGTGAGTGCAGCCACACTGGACCTGGGGAGCCCCCTCTTTGGTGGGCTTCAGCCTGGGCACAGGTGGACCCGTGCCTCCCCTTAGCTAGGCAGGCCCTTGTCCCTCTCACGTCAATTCCATGCTTTCCTGGTGAGTCTCTGGGCAGCTAGACGCAGTGCGGGACAGAAAGGAGAAGTGCGGAGCTAGCCCTCGCAGGGCGCGCATACATTTCAAAGCCTAATGACCAAGAGACCAAGATGTAGTTGCTTCAGGAGAAACAGAGAAATCAAAACAGCAAGAGCTGTGGCCTAACTTCGGGCACCTAGAAATGTACACAGCACCCCTGAAATTTGGTAGCTTCAAAGAAGTCATTGGACACTTTCTTCCCCAACACGCAGATGCTAAACACAGAAGCATTTTTTCATTAAATAAGACAACAGGCCAGCGTGCATGCAAAGAGCCCTCTGCAGGCGTACAGCCACACGAGAAATCAGGAGACACTGAGCAGGCTGGAGCTGTGCTGTTGGGAGGCAGTGCAAGTCTAGATTCCTCCCATTCCCAAGGGGTCCGGGCTTCTGCCCAGAGCTCAACAAGTTCAAGGACTGAAGAGCAAGTAGAAGTCAGACATCGCCCTCTAGAGGCGCCCCAGGAGACCTCCGCCCCGCCACGCCCCTCCAGGTGAGGAGCCGGCTCAGGGACGCTCCGTCTGCGCAGGGCCGCAGGACCGCCGTTCCCCACGTGGCCAGCAGGGAATCGAGGCTTGGGAAACCGACCAAAGATACTGCTCCGACTCTGCCTGTGCTTCTGTGAGAAACCATCTGTGTTCCTGCTCCAGGGGCCTGGGGTCTTCTGGAAGGATTTATTTAGGAAATTAACAGGCCAACTCACTAGTCCGCACATCAGAAAAAGTCTCAGACCTGCCAGTGTCTTAACAGCATCTAAAAAAACCAAACTGTTCTGCCGCGTTCCCGAAGGTGCTGAGGCACTTAGACCTGGGCCTTGGGTGCGTGGCATCAGAGAGCCCCAATGTCTGCACGTTTGCTCCTGGGGAAGCCAGCAAGGGCTCCAGACCAAGAGGTCTGTGTATGGCAAGCACAGTGCTTGGTCAGGCCAGCAGGGGGCGCTTGGACACACCACCGACCTTGGCCACTGGGCCTGGGAGTGCCACCCATGGTGTGTGGGACACCGGGCAGACCTGCACCTGCCACGGAGCCCCATTCCTGGAGACGCACCTGCTGCGCGGGTCTCGTACTCGTTTGCCAGCTCCTCGGACTCCCCAGCAGCGTTGATGTCATTCTTCACCTTGGCCAGCGTCTTCAGGAGCTTGCTGGCTCCCAGGGCCGCCAGGGTACAACCCCTGGTCTTTGGGGGAGGCAGAGAATGTTAAGCGGTCACATCAACATGAATGACAGACAAGTGGGAAGTCCCGGCGAAATGGGGATGGAAGTCTGAAACTACTCGCAACGATTCCAAGTAAAACTTGTAATGGGCACAAGACAGCCTTGAACTTGAGTGTGTGTGGACAGAGGCCTTGAATGAGGAAGCAGCATATAAAGAGGACAATATCAAGATAATTGCCATGAGACACTGACAGCAAGGCTCTGACGGCGGGGTGCCAGGCTACTGGAACAGCTCAAAGGGACAGACAGTGGACAACGACATAGGAGATGGGGTCAAAGCAACTGCTAAGACCCTGTGTGTGAATCCAGCGCTCAGTGTCCAACTTTACACTCTACAAATGGAGGAGGTACTGCATGTGTCCTTAAGTCATCACAAAGATTAGTACTTGCTAAGTCACAAGGCCAAGCAGCAGTGTGTTTTCCAAAGTACAGTTGTTTCGGGCCCTACTTCCTGTCCATAATGCAATAAAGCCAGAAAATGGCTTTTAAATTAGATGAGAAAACAATCACACATGTTCTCCCAGCTGGGAAGCAGGTGCTTCCCGGGTCGTGCCTCAAACACAGCTACCTTCCCAAGCACAGCTCCACGGACACGAACCAGAGACCCGTGCTCGTGGGAGGGCAGACCCTCTGCTGGACTGGCGAGGTCTGGGACCGGACAGGTGAAAAGTCAGAACTGTTACAGCAGCACGAACGTTTGGTGTATATGTAGCACGGCCATGGGCATTTACCTGCTCCCAAATGACTTTGGAGAGTTCTTTCTTGTTCTGCAGAATGGCCCAGATGAAGAGGGCTTGCAGGGGGTGCCGGGTGATGAAGGCCACGTCCTGGGAGGGGTGAGAGCCTGTGGTCAGCCCGTGTAATGGACGTGGCTTTGCGTACACTACTCTCCCAGGGAAAGTGGGGGTCAGGAAGCCTTGGGGGAGAGCCCCTGCTTGGAGACCTCGTAGCTTTACGTCTGAGCCTGTGACGTCCCCTCTGCGACTCACTAGTTAGTCTCCCTCGACACAAAATCTTTTATCAATCATAAAAGACAACGAACAACTAGACAGAAAGCTGTAAGAGGTGGAAATACGTACTGCAAGCAATTTTAAAACTGAGTGACTTCCCACAGGCCACAGAGAAAGTAGTTCCTTCTCATCACTATATAAATCTGTTTTTCACCTAGAAAAATAAATCATTCAAACTAAATTCTAAATTTCCTTCCGTTTCAGTTCAAATATCACAACCTAAAACTGCTGGCCTTTCATTCAAAGATTTGACTCCCAACATTTCCATTAGAATCCCAGCTCCTGTTCAACAGTCACCATCTTCAGTGGAAATTTTCCCGACAGAAAACAGTTAGCAGTACGTGTTCCTTATAGGTTTTACCGAAGTATTAAAATACGTGAAGCCCAGAGACACACACTGCAGAGGTTCCAACACAAACAGGGTCCAACGGAAGCTCTCTAAACACTTCTAATTCACACACACGCCTAGCTCTGTAAGGTTTTTAACACAGAGAATTACAAAAGGTCATCTACTCTGGGTCCCCAAGTCAAGAATTTAAGGCAGGTAGCTTGAGAGTTGACAGCAGAAAAGCAAGAGGAAAATGAGGAGATGCGATCAGAAGAAAAACCACAATAAAAGGTGCATTAGTGAGCAAGTCGTCATGGTAACCAGAGATCGGCTCTGCCGGCAGCTGTAGAACCAGCGCCGATTCTACACCCGAGGGTGGCCTTCTGTGGTGGGGAAGAGCTGGGGTCTTTACACAACTCCCCTCTGATTAGATCAATCTTTCAGCAAAGGGTGCTGATGTTGACCAATGGAAACTGGGCCTGCTGGTCCCTAACGCGGGAAGGCCCTGGGGGACCGTAGGTAGCACAGCGACAGCATCTTCTCAGAGAGACACCTGGGTTATCCCTCTGGAGATACTCATGGTCCCTGTCCTCAGAGAGAACGCTGGTCAGGCGCTCGGTCTCTCGCATGGGAAGCAGGGAGTGACCTGAAGCAGATGCCGGCCAGAAGCCTGAGCCATGTGTTTGTCCCTGCGTCCTGTTAGACGCTCACAGAAGCCTAAGCCATAGCGGGCGGCCATGTGTTTGTCCCTGCGTCCTGTTAGAGGCTCACACAAGGCACAACACACTGAGCTCTGCAACTCAGAAACATTGTAGCAAGTAGGAAATGTAGCACAGGGGATAAAGCAAGGCGAGAGAAAAGGCACCAGGCAGACTCGGTGTCACAGACAAAGAATTAAGCGGGTCAACATGGCGAAGAGGTAGAGAACGGGAGAGCAGGAAGCGAGAGGTTTTTTTCTAAAGGAAGACAAAAGATCAGAGCCGCCGGGCAGACAGCTCTCCCGGGACCTACGCGGAGCTCCACGTCCAAGTCGTCCCTGCTGCTTCTCTCCTCCTTCCAGAAGCCTCTCCGGAAGCTTGCAACCAGCTTCCAGACGAAGGTGAGCAGGGCGTCGTTGTAGGAGTTCTTGGCGATCTGCAGGTTGCGGTACACCAGGGTGCTGAAGTGGTTGGAGAAGAGCTCGGTGAGGACGTCGTTGGTGAGAAACTTCTGCAGGTTCAAGCCGTTCTCCAGGAAGAGGCGGACGAACTTGGGCCTGTCCTTGATAAGGGCCGTGAACATGACTTCTTGGAGGTCCGCAGACTACGGAGAAAGAACAGAGACAGGACTCGCACCCCACGCCCCCAAAGAAAACACCAGGCATCTTTCTCAGCTTTGAGAATGAAATGTAGCTTTTCCATGTTCACACCACGGTGGATTTCAGTTCAAACATCTAGGTGGGGCAGCGGCGTGGTGGAATCTTTGAAATGAGCCAGAGGAGGGCTCGTGCTTACATAGGGTGGAGCTAAGTACACCCTGACCACCCTGACTCCCATGCAAGGGTGACGCTGGTCAAGAATCCCTGGCAAAAGCAGGGGCTCAGCTAGGGGCCGAGGGCCAGCAGCAGCTGGGACCATTTCTCTGAAGGCTACCCTGATGGCGGACTCACCACCAATGCTGTCTCTTCACTCGGCACCACGGGATCCACTGCCTTTCCCAGGCACCCATGAACCTTCCATCATGGCCACTGACGTCTCTAATACCATCGGCAAAACGGAGTCCACCATAGCATGTGCAAACCTCACGTACCAGGCAAAGGCATGGGATGTTGCTTACTGGTAAGGCACTGGAACACTGGGCTGTTACACTTCCTACTTTTCTTTACCTCCATGTCATGGGTTCCTAACCAAACGTACCCCATAGAAGCCTATGGAGACGCTTCAGAAAGCTAACTGATGCTTACTCCAGACACAAACCAGCGGGCCACAGCTTGCACCAGCTCTTAGATGTGTTCTGTGCATCCCACAGGACGTGCGGCCATTTGATCCCATTGCCAATGTTTAGAAATCAGAAGGCTCACCCAGGTCTACACTTAGGAATGGAAACCAGAAGCCCTGGTGACATGGCGAGCACCTGCCAGAGCGGAACAGCAGCCGCTCCCGGGAGCCCTCACTGTTGCCAACTCAGCCCACTTCACCCACTCATGCCTTGGCCCCAATTTAGGTGAACAGCCTCTGCCAATGGCAGCATTAACAGCTCATGTTTCTGTCTAATGGTGGTCTCTTGGGGACCACTCGCTGCCTGGAGAGGGAACTGTCAAGGTTCCCTTGGGCCCCTGCAGGATGGATCCCACTGGACCGGGCACGGCAAGAGCGGCAGCTGCTCTCGGTCCTCAAGGCCCCGGATCGCACACACCCTCCCAAGTCCACGTGCTTTCCCGTCGGCTACACACCTGAAACCCGCAGGACTTGGGAAAACACACATTGCTGGAGTCAACCTGGAATTTCCGGCTCAGCAAGTACAAGGTGGGGTCCAGTAGTGTCCAGCACATGGCTGCCAGTCTAGGGCCACCCTCTGAGAAGCACTGGCCGAGGGGAGAGAGACCAGGCTTTGCAGAGAGACAAGCCTTGGCTTCCAAACCTCATTCTACCATCTTCCTGCTAGGTGACCTAGAATAAAATTGTGTCTGCAACCCTCAGTGGCTTTTCTCTGATACAGGTGGTTGTGAGGACGAAACAAGATAGCACAGGTCAAGCTCCTTCCAGAAATTTCAGTTCAGGGCCAGTCCTCAAGGAACCACCAGCAACACCCACCTTGCAATGGCCAAGGAGCCATGGATCCATGAGGGACAAGGAAATTAACACAATGAGACTGCGCTGTGCATGGTAAAAGGCTGCACAAATATTATTATGCCAGAGACATTTATTCGTTTTTAAAGACTTAGAGTGCTTAGTAAGTGCCGATGTTCTAAGCACTCCGGAAACACTGTGTGACTGAATCACCATGACGGGCCGAGGTCCACCGTCTCCTTTTTCCGATGAGCAGGATGTGCTGGTCAGTGTTTTCAGCTCTCAGAAAGGACATACAGGCCTTGATTTGTCATCTTTGCTTATTTCCATGGTGCAAACTCTCCACCTTGGCCAGGTTTTCAGCACTAGTGGGGCGGCACTGAATGCAGCCTTGGGAATGGATGCAGAGCCACGTGTGACTGTGCAGGTATAGTATTTCCTGCACACGGGTGCACCAGACGTAAATAACCTGGGGCACAGACAATAGCGAATACAGTAAAAGGACTCGATGGGGTGAGATTTAATTACTTGTTACCTTTAACTTACTTTAGTTCTAGGCTTGCATAATTTAATTTTTAATAACGACTAAGTTGAACAACCAACTGACAAAATCCCTAAAACTTCAGCAGCTGCTTCTGTAAATCAGAGTAAGCCAGTGGGAGCTGGCCCCACCAGGCCACGCGGGAGGAAGTTGAGACTGAGAGGTTAAGTACAATGGCCAGAGCCCTGCCGTGGGGCTGGCCCCAGGCTCTTAACCGTTACTACCCTTCACTTTTTTTTTTTTTTTTTGACAGGCAGAGTGGACAGTGAGAGAGACAGAGAGAAAGGTCTTCTTTTTTGCCGTTGGTTCACCCTCCAATGGCGCACTGATCCAATGGCAGGAGCCAGGTATTTATCCTGGTCTCCCATGGGGTGCAGGGCCCAAGCACTTGGGCCATCCTCCACTGCCCTCCCGGGCCACAGCAGAGAGCTGGCCTGGAAGAGGGGCAACCGGGACAGAATCTGGCGCCCCGACAGGGACTAGAACCTGGGGTGCTGATGCTGCAGGTAGAGGATTAGCCTGGTGAGCCGCAGCGCTGGCTGTCTACCCTTCACTTCTAACAATCATTAGCCAAGTTAATAAAGTTAAACGCACCACTCACTGGGCACCTGACTTTGCGTTTATCTGTAGCATCTGACCTAACTTAAATAGAACGCTTCACACACAAGGATTCCTTTATGAACCCATCAGCCAGATCTTATAGCCTGCTTTCCCTCCACTAACTAAAGCCTGGCGCTGTGTAATCAGGTCCACTATCCCGCCAAGACAAACACGGACGATGTTTGCTAAGGGAATGAATCACTTAAAAATTCATGATCCATTACTGTATTTGCACAGCTCCCATTAAAATTGATCACATGTTCATATAGATCCAGTTTCAGTCTTGTTTATACAATAGGTCTGACAGTGTTTCTGAATCGGGCTGTCTAGGATAAAAGTTATGAGACAGCAGCCCCTTCAAATCTAGACCTACAAATACAACTATATTCTCCCTGCCACTAAGGACTGAATTAACTCAGAAGAGCTGAAAACAGAGAAGCAGGCTTGCAAGTATGGCCTGCGAGTGTAAGTCGGACAGCTCCTCCCTCCTCCTCCCCATCCGTCTAAGGCAGATGAGCTTCAGTCACACGCAAGGCGGCGCTGCTACCACACGCGGTCCTAACACACACAGCAAATTGCCAAGTGAGAAAAGGCAGTCGACTGGAAATAATGGTTTTATGGCAAGTGCCGCTTCCACATTAAAGGTGCTGCCTTTGCCGGCACAGTCCCAAACGCCCAGCGCTGAGACATTCACTGATGATTTCAGTCCAGCTGTCCTGTCTCCCTCCTGCACCTCCCTGTTGCCAACTCCCTTTCTCAGGACTCGGCAAGGCAGAGGGGGCAGGAAGCAGAAGGAGGGCTGCCGTCCGGGTTCCGGTCAAGAACGTCCCCTCACCATGCACGAACGCACTTTCCCGTTTCACCCACCCACTCCCGAGAGGCGATCCGTGCGGTCTCACTGAGACAGCCATCATGGCCGAAGGACCATGAAGCTTGGATGGCGCTGGTGGATGGACGAGACCTCGTGTGAGAACATCTGTGTCAGGAGCCCAGTGCCCAGACAAGGCACGTGGGGCTCAGCAACACTGACGTACCAGGACGGGAGGACCCTTCCAGGGGGCCTTCCCGGGGTGGGGGGGGCTCTCCCCAACAAGCCGATCGCTGCTGAGCGCACTGCCGGCCCAGCCCTGGAGTAACCCAGGGGCCTTGCTTACCTCCCAGCGACGGTCGTTGGTGAAAATCTCGTCGTTGGCCAGGTCCAGCTGGTTCCACTCCAGCAGCAGCTTGAGCTGTCCATTCCAGTTGTCCTTGTCTTGCTCGTTGGTGCTGAAGGCTGTGCGGGGGAAGCCAGAGGAGACCCAGAAAGCAGAGTCAGACCCGTGGCGTGAGGCCGCTCTCAGAGCCACGTGGGGTCAGAGGCAGCTTCGAGAGTATCCTCTTAGAATCAGACACTCGGAGCTGCCATTTCCATTCAACTCCAGTCACTCTCGCCCCCATTTCAAAGATCCTGAGGCATGGAATAAGGACCCACTCAGGCTCACAGTGTCACAGGGGATACACAGAGTCCATGATCTGACAATGGTTCAACGTAATGATTTTTTAACTTTCAGACAGCAGAGAAGTGTATGTACAGGGCCATTCTGTTTCTCACTTTCAGAACACTATCCAGTGAACTACAGCCGACGCTTTGTTATAAAGCAGGCTTTCTATTAGATGGCTTTGCCTAGCTGCAGGTGAATGCGAGTGTTCCGAGCGTGCTTAGGGACGCCAGCACTGGACCAGGATGTTGGGAAGGTGTATCCAGGCATTCAAGTTCGGGTATTTTCAGTTCTCGATGGGTTAACCAGGATGCAAACCCAGCATAAGTCTAGCAGCACCGGTGTTGAGATTCTCCCGAGATTCGGCTTCTACAACCATTCTTTTCCAAGGGCTGAATCTGACTTACGCTGTGCGTGAATCTATGACAGTGATAATCCCTCACACCGTAACATCCTTCCTGTCTTCTCCAGAATCTTCTGTCTGTTTATCTGAGCAGATATTAACTCCACTTGAATCAGCACCATAATCAGCACCATCATAACCAAGTTTTTGGCAAGAACAATCAAAATTCTAGTGGGTGACAGAGGCTTCGACTGCATCTGCTGCCTGCCTGGTCCTCTTCATTGTACTTTGCCTTTTTTTTTTTTTTTTTTTTTTGAGTTAGACAGTGAGAGAGGAGAGAGACAGAGAGAAAGGTCTTCCTTCCATTGGTTCACCCAACAAATGGCCGCTACAGCCGGTGCACTGAGCCAATCCAAAGCCAGGAGCCAGGTGCTTCCTCCTGGTCTCCCACGCGGGTGCAGGGCCCAAGGACTTGGGCCATCCTCCACTGCACTCCCGGGCCACAGCAGAGGGCTGGCCTGGAAGAGGAGCGACCGAGACAGAATCTGGCACCCCAACTGGGACTAGAACCTGGGGTACCGGTGCCACAGGAAGAGGATTAGCCCAGTGAGCCGCGGCGCCAGCTGTACTTTGCCTTATTAATCAAGCGGTTCAATTCCGAATAGTGAGGCTTTGCCAAGGATCTACTTATTACAGGTCATATTACCTTTGATGTTTTTCTAACACAGTAAAAATCATACATGAGAATTGTTACTTTTCTTTTTTTGTTGCTTTTTAGATATTTATTTATTTATTTGAGATGTAGAATTACAGACAGAGAGGGAGAGACACAGAGAAAGGTCTTCCATCTGCTGGTTCACTCCCCAAATGGCTGCAACAACCAGACCTGGGCCAATATGAAGCCAAGAGTTTCCTCTGGGTCTCCCACATGGGTGCAGGGACCCAAGGACTTGGGCCATCTTCCACTGCTTTCCCAGGCCACAGCAGAGAGCTGGATCAGAAGAGGAGCAGCCGGGACTCGAACCCACACACACATGGGATGCCAGCACTGCAGGTGGAGGCTTAGCCTGCTACACCACAGCGCTGGCCCCAGCCTGAGTTTCATTCATAAGCTTTGGGAGATTTGTAAACCCCTGAAAATGAATGCAACATTATTTATCTGTGTGGCATGTGTATTTCCACACATGTAACTCCAGGACAAAAACACACAGTTCTGTCACATTCTCAAAGCAGTCCCCAACAGTAAAAAAAAAAAAAAAAACTTTTTTTTAAACCACTGTTAGAAATAGCTTTTTGGAGAGTGCTTTGATCTTATTTGACCAGTATTTTAATGGCATAAAAATTCTTTTTCTATTAGGCAGATGCACCTCACCAAGTCAATAGTAGTTAGTTATCTGGATTCCAACTGAAGATAGAACTAAATGAAAGATTACATTTCGGCCAGCACCGCGGCTCACTAGGCTAATCCTCCACCTTGTGGTGCCAGCACACCGGGTTCTAGTCCCGGTCGGGGCGCTGGATTCTGTCCTGGCTGCTCCTCTTCCAGTCCAGCTCTCTGCTGTGGCCCGGGAGAGCAGTGGAGGATGGCCCAAGTGCTTGGGCCCTGCACCCCATGGAAGACCAGGAGAAGCACCTGGCTCCTGCCATCGGATCAGCGCGGTGCGCCGGCCGCGGCGGCCATTGGAGGGTGAACCAATGGCAAAGGAAGACCTTTCTCTCTGTCTCTCTCTCTCAGTGTCCACTCTGCCTGTCAAAAAAAAAAAAAATTACATTTCAGCAAAGCTGGTTTTACAAAAAGTCATGAAAAGCCCCGGACAGCAGCCCAGAGCTGACACTTGAGAAGGCGCTGCCGCACTCACCTTTGTACAGTGCATAGGATATGGCATTGCTCACAATCTCGTCCCCAGCTTCTTCCATCTTAATAACTGTTAATAGGTGAGAACTTTCAAGAATTTCTTTGAGCTGGCAACATTGAAAGAAAAAAAATTATCAGCCAGTTTTCTTCAGCATAAATTTCTCTCCTTACACCTCTTGGGGATTTCCAGGTCTCCTTCATTCCTGTACCCACAGCTTCTAGTGTCTAAATGACCATAATGACCACCACGAGGGTCAGGCATTCGTCATACAGCAGCACACATAGCAAAAAGCCCCTAGCAAAGAGCCGAAAGCCTGATTTGACTAGATAGGTATGTGAGAGAGACAGACAGACAGACAATGCTTGGGGCACGGCAGATGCTCAATCGTTGAATGCGTATATTGATGAACAAAGGGCAAGAGAAGACCACAGAAACCACCCAACTGTGGTCCCAAAGGTTTAATGGCCATGAAACAGTCAGAAAGAAAAGTTCCAGTGGAAGTGAGAACCAAAAGACTCAGTGACTAATAAGGAGATAAAGACTTGGCTATGTTAGCCTTGGTGAAGCTTCTATAATGGTTAATTCTGAAGCTTTTTCAAAATGAAAGAGTCCCTAATTCCATTGGTAAGCCTGGTGAGAGCCTGGTGAGGGATTCTCTCTCTCTCTCTCTCTCTCTCTCTCTCTCTCTCTCTCTCTCGGAGAGCAAGTTTAGTTTCAGGTAGATTGAGTTCAGTGTGATGGTGGGTTTTCTTGGAAACAATTGGAACTGCAGAAGTCTCAGGAAGCGTGAGTGAGAAGTCTCGGGGTCTGTTGTTGGAAGGAAGTAGACTAGGGAGAGCTCTCTCGGATTTGAAAATTAGGTGAGCTTTTAAAGCCCCAGTTTCTTGGAAAAGGTAATTGATTCAGAAGACACAGTGCTCAGGACATGATGAGGAAGTCAACAAAAACTGCAGAAAAACACAGACCCAGGGGGATCTGAGGGAGAGGGTAGGTGGCGGGGGGGATGCGAGCAGAAAGGCAGTGTCTTCCCCACTTCTGCAGCCTCCGTTCGGGCTGAAGGAAAAGGCCCAACCACACATGAGGGGTTAAAAGGAGGGTCCAGGTCCCAACACTACGGTGCGCAAGTGCAGACAGGCAGTGCTAGAGAGGTGAGACATCTTCTCCTCTGAGATTAAAAAAGTGGGGGAGAAGGAAAAAATGAAAATGGACACAGAGCAAACCAAGGGTCAGAGAGATGGCTGCAGGGACCCACTACATACCCAGGCATTCTCCAGTGCTGTTCTGCCACTCCAACCCACGTGCGCTTTCCTGGACACAGCCTTGAGCACACTGCCCACCCCACACACGCTCAAGCCCTCCGGGGGAATCGCTGCGTTTGAACACAGCCTCAGGAAGCCCTTCATGAGCTCGTCAGCTTCCACTCACACATCTGCCCTTCCCGTCTCCTTTCAGCTCCTAGATGCAGCTGCCTTGACCAAGCGCAATACCAGGTGACCAAGTAGAAATACCAGGTGAGCGGTCACTAGAGCTCCACTTAACGCCAGTGCTACAGAAAGAAGGCTCGTCTGGACCTTTAACTCCTGAATTTCATTCTGGGTCCCCTGCTCCACGAGACTCCTGGCTAACTGTTCTCTGTGTGAGGTCACGTCAGGCCAGGAGAGCCCCACTTCCTGTACTTTACTAAATGTGGCGGCCAAGGAGTCTGCGTGGACTTTCTCGTTACTGTCCAGCCTTCCCTTAAATAGCAACAAAGGGCACCAGGAGGAAGGAGAAATTACCTTCACTATTCCAGGATCTCAATTTACTTATAAACTCATTATTCAAAATCTCACAGTCTTTATACCAAATCCAACCTTCAACTCTCATGAGGAAACGGGCTCCATGATTAAAACAACCTCCTTGCTGGCAGCAAATCTCCAGGGACAGCACCTGCTCCTAAAAATAGCCAAATATCAACGGCCACTTGTGAATGGGCTGACGGGAGTGTGACCCATCGACACGAACGTGAGCTTTCTAACGGACTGAGCCGCGGGGAAGGTGCAAGGCACAGGTCATCAGCAGTCATGAGACGAGTGAGGACGCACAGCACTGGTGTGTTAAAATGCTTTTCTCAGCTTAGCAACAAGAAACACAAGCATCCAGGAGAGTCACACTTCTCACAGGGCCCGAGAAGGAAGATGAGGATTCCAAGAGATGTAGACTCCAGTTAGAGTCTGAATTCTGAAAACAGCATTGCCAGGGGCTCCTGTCCTGCCCACACCAACACAGAGGAAACACAGGGGCACATGTGTTGGCATTGTGGCATCAAAGCTTTGAATTTCAACCCTGTACGAGGAAACCTTTATGAGGAACAGACACTCCGGGAGTCACTGAACCTCTCTACACTGCGATCACCCCCAGGCCACCTGTGAGGACCAGAGCAGAATCCGAATTAAGCCCCGGCAGCTGCTGGCGGAGGTAGGGCTTAGATGGAGTCGCCCCCACCCCCTGCCCCAGCAACCTGGTTTCCTCTCTCCCAGCCCTCCGGGGTGTGGCCCCCAACGCACCCATCTGATCCAGCTGTCGGTCTCCTCCTCGGGCAGCCGGGACACGGTGCGGGGCAGGAAGCGCACCAGCTTCTCCTTGACGGTGGAGGAGGCCAGGGCGTCCTCCACCTCCACCAGACTGGCGATCACGTCCGCGATCTGCCCCGAGCCTTCCACCACCACACAGGGAATCTTGCTTTTGATGGAGGTGTTGATGGCCTGGGAGGGGGCGAGAGGGGGAACAGTGAGACAGAAGGGAGAGACACGGATGCTGGGCGGCCCCCGCCGAGCGTAGGCTCTAAGTCCAGCTGAAGAACAAACAGGCTGATCCTCCTGCGCTCTCTGCTCTGGGGCTTCGAAACCAAACGCCGGCAGTGGCTTGTTGAGGAGCAGGAAAAGCCAGCCGCTGTGCAGCTTCCTCGGACAACAACGTCCACGGAGGACACGTGACGGGCTTCGTTTTTAAAGGACTTGAGCTCAGCCCCGTGTGCAAAACCGACAGCTCCAAAACCCGACGTGGTATCTGAGAGACCACCACAAGCCCAGCACGTCACGTGACCGCGGACAGCGTGTGGGATGGAGGTGACCAAGACTCAGTGATGTGGCCTAAGTACCTGGGTTGCTGTCTCAGGTCATCGCCCCTGAGATAAGAATTCAAAGCACAGGTACCCATATATGTATTGCACAACTGACAGCGGATTTATTTAACAGTCGGGGAATAAACATGCATTCACGCGTGAGCGTGTGCCACTGCACACAAAGAAATGCCGAGAAGAAGCTCCTGGCTCCTGGCTTCAGATTGGCCCAGCTCTGGTGGTTGTGGCCATTTGGGGAGTGAACCAGTAGATGGAAGACCTCTCTCTCTCCCTCTCTCTCTCTCTCTCTGTAACTCTATCTCTCAAATAAATAAATAAAATCTTTTTTTTTTTAAAAAAAGAACAGAAATGCCGTTGCTTCCAGGATAAATGGCTATCACACGTTCATCACATTGATTGCTTTTATCCTAACTGCAGAGGTTGGCCCAGGGGATCGGGTTTTCGGGACGTGAGCGTGGTGCAGGATGAAGCGATCCATCCACGCACAGCACATGGAAACCGAGAGCCACCTCTTTAGGACTGAATGCACCCTTAGAGAAGACACAGGGCAGGGGGGCTCCCTGTGTGTCTCGCTGCCTGAGCCCAAGCATGGAGTGGGGAAGGAGAGCTGCAGAGACCCTCGCTCCCTGCCCCAGCTCTCCTAGCCTGCTGTTCCGTGGATCGTGAACTGGCTGGGCAGACACTGGTGGGAAACCCTGGGGAAACACAGCACTACACTTCCACTGCTTCTGATCTTTCTCGCCACCCTGGGCCAAAACTCTCCACCTCAAGCCAAAAATTTTTTTTTATCCCTTATGATTTTTTTATTTTAAGGAATTTATTAATGCATTAGATATCGCCCACAGCAAATACACAATCACTACAACATTATTCTCATGGTAACGTGATATTAATTCAAAGAGAGCAGATTCCATACAGCTCACAGCTACAATTCTAAGAACACAATACCTCCCTCCCTCCCTCCTTCCCTCCCTGCCATCCCTGTTTTTTTTCCTAATTTTTTAAAATTTTTGAGATAACATTTTAATGTACAATATAGTCAAAGACTTAATGCTCCACTAAATAGAGTTAAAGGAGTAAAAAGACTATAACTCAGCAGGAATACAGGCAAGGGCCCAGAACAATAACCAAATGAAAAGATGTCCATTTCACTCCTGTACAGTCCATTTTAAAATAATCACGGGTCATTAAAACCAAGGGAACACAGGGAGCCATCATCCAGTCATGTTCTCTCCATTGCTCTTCCTCTGTTAGATGGCTACTTTCTACACTTGATCTTAGCCAAAAGGCTGAGAAGTGATTTGGCTACTTTTTGAGCATTCATTTTTTTATCACTTTACATTGAAAAAAAAAAAACTCCATTTAAATTTTTCCCTGCAAAGTCTTTATCTGAAGAGTTTCATTTAGCAATGGTCTCAAGAATAGAGCCCATAGTAGATACTCAATAAATATCTGTTGAATTACTGAGAGAGAAGACCACTGCTATTGAAAAGAATGAACAAGGAAACGTGCTATGTTACAATTCTAAGTCATTACGCCAGCGATTACTCCAACCCAAGGGACATACTCTGGTCATGGGAGGGGAGAGGGTCTCTGTCTTTGAAATAATCCCCACCTTAGAGTTAAAACAGGCTAGGGGGATGAGAAAGCATGCAGTCAACAAGGAAATAAATGTTTAAAAGGAGTTAAACATTACTTCCTTGTAATGTCCTACTCCCAGAGAAATGGGCTTTTGAAAATGATACCTTCACACACAAACTAAAATGCTCCATTTCTAAAAAGCACACAAATGGCTAGCTACAAGCAAGATGAGCTTAATGTATCCATAGGTTTCCCAACCATGGGTTCAACCAACTTTAGACTGAAAATATTTGAAAAGAAAAATTGTGTTTAGACTGGGTTTGTACAGACTTTCCCCATCATCATTATTTTATAAACATCAAAGTAAAAGCCATTTTGTATGCGATATCATACATAACCTAGAGGTGATTTAGAGTATGTGGGAGCAGGTGCACAGCTTGCGTGTCAGCCCTGCGGATCCGAGGACTCCTACCCAGGGGGTCCTGGGGCCGTCCTGAGGAACAAGGGGGCAATCGGAATCTCAGAGACGCACAGAGGGGCTGGGAAGCTGATTCGTGCCCAGTTGGTCAATGCTGCAGGTGCAGAGTCCCCCAAGCGGCTTTCTATGATTTTAGAATCAGCCAGGGTCTGGGATGCCTCCGTGGGGAGTCCTTGCGTCACCAGGAGACACCTGGATGATAGCCTGGGGACATCTGACCTGGGGGAGGCCTCCATGCAGACCGGGTGGCCACAGTTCTCCAGAACGCACGCTGGCTCCCACCTTTCCATCTCAGGAATTCAGGCCGGTTCTCCTCTTTGGCAGATTAACATCAAAGTTCACTCTAAGACACAGGCTACTCACATCACTTCAAATTCTCTCCCAGATTGTCCCACCTGGCAAGCAACCTAACTGTGCAGGGACTAGCATGTGAAAGAAAGACACCTCCTACTTGCTACAGTAATCAATCAGGTTAGATCTGATGAGCCCCAAAGCCCTGAAAATACAGATTCGTTGGGTAAGTTTGTTCATCAATCTTCTAGAAAGCTAAACCAGAACTACTTTCAGCCGGCGCTGCGGCTCACTAGGCTAATCCTCCACCTGGCGGCGCCGGCATACCGGGTTCTAGTCCCGGTTGGGGCGCCGGATTCTGTCCCGGTTGCCCCTCTTCCAGGCCAGCTCTCTGCTGTGGCCCGGGAGTGCAGTGGAGGATGGCCCAGGTGCTTGGGCCCTGCACCCCATGGGAGACCAGGAGAAGCACCTGGCTCCTGCCATTGGATCAGCGCAGTGCGCCGGCCGCAGTGGCCATTGGAGGGTGAACCAACGGCAAAGGAAGACCTTTCTCTCTGTCTCTCTCTCTCTCTCACTGTCCACTCTGCCTGTAACAAAAAAAAAAAAGAACTTACTTTCAAAGTCTCTCTTCCACCTCCTTGAGCAAAGCACACAATAGGGATCTTGCCACCATAGTTGGAATCTGTAAAACATGCAAAGGAACGTTAACTTGGGGTTCAACAGCAAAACTCGCCTCCCTCAGGAGAGTGCATGGGAGCTTCTGCCCCGTGAACTCGGTGTGCCAGGGGAGTTAGCCGCTCATCTCAGGACGGGAACTTGCCGACCACTGATCACAGTGGATACGCCTTGTGCCCCAAACCAATGCTGTGATTTGTCACTGATGTTTAACAGTCCCAAAGTCTGTGCACGCTTTACTTCTGCTGATAGAAATGAGATGAAGGTCTGGGCTGGTGCAGTGGCATAGCGGGCCAAGCCTCCACCTGTGGTGCCAGTATCCCATACAGACACCAGTTCGAGTCCCAGCTGCTCCTCCAAGGCAATTCTCTGCTGTGGCCTGGGAAAGCAGCAGAAGTTGCCCAAGTCCTTGGGCTCCTGCACCCACATGGGAGACCTGGAGGAAGCTCCTGGCTCCTACCTTTGGGTCGGCTCAGCTCCGGCTGTTGCAGCCAATTGGGGAGTGAATCAGTGGATGGAAGACCTTTCCCTCTCCCTCTCTCTCTCTCTCTCTCTCTCTCTCTCTCTCTCTGCCTCTCCTTCTCTCTCTGTGTAACTCTGACTTTCAAATAAATAAATCTTTTAAAAAAGATTCCCTCATTCATTTGAACAATCCTGCTTTCTGAAGTGGATGAGAAACGCGTGCAATGATGTATTCTCTCCATGAATTTATTGCACACTTGAGAGTTCTCCTGCACAGATATCCCAGCGTGGAAGGACAATGAGAGGGGCTCTCTCCAACAAGTCCGAGTCCCTGTTTCAAAGTCTATCAGGAAATCACAAGCTGACCTGCTTCCCCCACAGAACACATGTCAACATCGTGTCCACAACAAGAGAAAGTAGTTGCCGCTGACCAGGAAAATAAAGACTCCTTCCCTTGAAACCAGTGTTTTAGCTGATTCCACCCCATTGCAGTAGCCAAGACTCAAAAAAAGTAAACATCTGGTTGTTAAACGAGTGGGCGATTCGTTTATCATTTCTACCCTAGAGACCTGCATGACTTCCTAAGCGCCTGTCTGCCCTCGTGGGTTTTACTTGTTCTTAAATAAAGTCTAGCAGGAGAGACAGCAGGTGCTGTACCCTGGAAACAGGAGTGGAAGGAGTGCCTGTGGCAGGAGCTCTCCTGGACTGCACAAGGAAGAAACCCAGCTCTCCTTTGGCAACGAAAACAAACACCCACTGGGGTGGCGGGCGGGGGCGGGGCACACCATGCCCCGCTGAGTAATGCAGCGACCACTGGAGCCCAGCGTCCCCCCGCCGCGCTCTGACCTTGAATGGTGCGCTCCGAGATGTACTTCTCCAGCTGGTTGCGCAGCTTCGCCTCCACGGTGGGGTGCCCGTGACAGCCGTTGTCCACGAGCAGCAGGTGGGTGTGGTTGTTGTCCAGGATGTACAGAGGGTCTCTTTTGAAATCATCCATAATGTACTGGGCTGAAAAATAGCCCTGGGAAGGGCGGGCAGGGGGGTGGGGGCTGGTCATTGAGATTTGCTCTGGTGCCCAAGACGCGCGATGTCACTTTTGCAGGTTCATCCGGAAACGCATCCTTTGGGTGATGGATGTGTTCCCCTTCCCCAAGTCCAAAAGGAGCCTTCCAGGGACCCAAGAGGACAGGTCTCCTCTGGACCATGAGAAACGAATCACTCGCCCGTTGTCACATCAACGGCCAGTGAGCGTGGAAGGATCAGATTCCCGATCCAGTTCTCTCCTTCATCATCCTGAGCTCTTTTGTGCATCAATTCACTGAAATGAACAGCACTTAGGATAGTGTGTGTGTGTGTGTGCATGGGTGTGCATGGGTGTGTGCAGGTAGGGGGAGACACTGGTGTACACACATACATACCTGTCCAGGACTTGTGCTAGAGTCTAGGGATTAGCAAATAAATAAAACAGGGTCTTGGCTCCTGGGAAGTACGTGGTGACTGGACCATAAAAGAAGGAACTCAGTAGATACTTCTCCCCACATCACTGGAGCATGAAGGGAGGAACCCTGACTAAGGTGTTCACAGTCCCAAGGTCAGGGCTGCACCGAAAAGTGTTCCAACTTGAACTCCAGCAACAGAATGTAAGCTGAAAACTCACTAGGGGGAGGAAGGCTGTTGATTCTGCCGATCTCAAATATGAAACCAGTACAGAAGCAGAATAAAAAGTACGATGAGTTGTAGTTCGATTCTCCGAGTAGCTCTAGCCCATCTGGATGTGACAGAGGAGGTCCTACCTGCCAGACAGGCACAAGCAGGAGTTTGAAGGAGCAGCCTGCAAAGTGTTCCTGGAGTGAATAAGCCCCATTTCACTCACTCTCCCAGAACCTTGACTCCCATCTCTCTACAAGGAAAGAACCACAATAGGAAAAACCAAACACCAAACCCCCTAATGAATAAGAAGGCAGAAAGAAAGCCTGATAAACCATTGGCTAATTAAATGTAGCAGGGAAAGTTAGCAACAACTGGTGTTGCTTCCAAGACTCAGCCCACAGGTTATCCAGTCCACTAGGTTACATCAAATAACCCCAGATGCAAAAAACAATTATCTCAATTTGAAAAATTATAAAATAAAAAATATAAACTAGAACAAAAGGATGATGCCTTATGATGCATTATCTATATATGTACATTGAACCTTTAGCAAAGTCCTATTCACTGAAACTATCCCCATGATCATGACGTCAGAGAGCCTGGGTGCCTGTCACAGAATCTGCAACCACCACTCTCCCCTGACACTGCACTGTCTGCACGGTACAGCCAAGACAGGGCACAGTTAATGGAGGAGCTGCTTTAACACGAGTGACATTTCCCAGTGCCCTGGATGCAAACCCAGAATACTCAGAGACTACTGAAACACTGCAAGAATTAGGAAGAGGCCGGCGCCGAGGCTCATTAGGCTAATCCTCCACCTGCGGCGCCGGCACCCAGGTTCTTGCCCGGTTGGTTGCTCCTCTTCCAGTCCAGCTCTCTGCTGTGGCCGGGAGGGCAGTGGAGGATGGCCCAAGTGCTTGGGCCCTGCACCCCATGGGAGACCAGGAGGAAGCGCCTGGCTCCTGGCTTCGGATCGGCGCAGTGCTGGCCATGGTGGCCATCTGGGGAGTGAACCAACGGAAAGAAGACCTTTCTCTTTGTCTCTCTCTCTCACTGTCTAACTCTACCTGTCAAATTAAAAAAAATCAATATTTTCATACACACTAGCAAGAATAAAAATGAAATTGAATAAAAAGCCCATATACAACAATACTAGAGGTATAAGAGCTCCAGGAATAACCTTAAGAAGAAATATGCAGGACTTGATCGTGAAAACTGAAACTTTCCTGAAAGACATACATTTGCCTAACCCGAGAGAGGTCATATTACTGGATGAGGTCTTGGTATTATAACAATTTCAGTTTTTCCAGTGTCACATACAGGCTTAGCATGAATCTATTCAGTGAGTGTGTGGTTGTGTTGTTGTATGTTATGTCTAGTGATTGTGCCTTGGCAAAGGGGTTGTAACATTCAAATGAAAAAATATGTGGCTACCAAGAGCCAAAAGAATAAAATGAAAAACAAGAATAAAGAGTATCAGCCTGTGCTATCCTTTTTAAAAGGGCATAGAAAACGCTATTGTAATTTTCAAAGTGTAATAGTGACTCAAGAAAAAAAAAAAAAAAACAGTTGATGGGAGCTAGGAAACAAAACTCTGGAAGAGATCCCCAAACCAGCCCGACATCTCGTGGTCGTGAGGTGCCCCGTGCCAGCTCGGCCAGCTCTGGCCCTGACTCAGCCAAGCCCGCCAGCCTGGACCCTGCATTGAAGTCAGAAGCAAAAGCCCCACGGGAAGACCGTCACGGCGGCCATCAAGGACAGCAGGTTTCAGCTGTACAACACTCCCAACGCTCCCGTTCAGGGAAAGCAGTACAGAAGCAAAAAACCAGACGCAACCTCAGAAGAGCTCACTGTGCAACGACCCTGCGTCACCCAGCAATAGGAGCAAAACCAGGAAAGGAACACAAGCTAGCGCCATCATTCTTCTGTAAAAGTGACACCTGCTTACTTTACGAAATGTAAAAACCCAGCATGTAAGTGGGAAATGAAAACCGTGCTTGATTCCGGGTAATAATCACCCTCGAGATTTTAGCTCTTCCTTCATTCTCCACAGTCAGCTCTTCTCTGGGGAAGACAGAGAGAGAGAGACTGCAGACGGAGACAGATAGGTGACAGATAAAAGTCAACAATAAATATATTCCATAGTATCAGAACACCTTTTGAAATAGTATTTTAAGGGCTGCCACTGTGGCCCAGTGGGTTAAAGCCCCGGCCTGCAGTGTCGGCATCCCAAATGGACAACGTTTCGAGTCCCAACTGCTCCACTTCCAATCCAGCTCCCTGCTAATGCGCCTGGGAAAGTAGCAGAGGACAGCCCAAGTCCTTGGGCCCCTACACCCACGTGGGAGACCCAGAAGAAGCTCCTGGCTCCTGGCTTCAGATTGGCTCAGCTCCGGCCGTTGTGGCCATCTGGGGACTGAACCAGCAGATGGACGATCTCTCTCTGCCTCTACCTCTCTCTGTAGCTCTGTCTTTCAAATAAATAAAATAAATCCTAAAACAATCGTCTTAGAAAAATATTATTTTAATAGCTCCATAATTTTCCCTCATATTTGTATAGAAATCTACCTGAAGATTTCCCTACCATGAATATTACCAGATATGTATGTTTAGTTCAATTCTTGGCTATTATACACTTTAGTGACTATCTTCATCTAAGTATTAAAATCCCAAGACAAGCATTTGGTGCACAGTAAGACATGCCAGGGAGGCTGGCATCCCGTACCGAAGTGCTTGGGCTGGAGTTCCTCTCCTGTCCCTGTGCCACCTTCGTGACAATGTGCACCCCAGGAGGCAGCAGGGGATGGCTCCGCCGGTCCCTGCCGTCCACAAGGGAGACCCAGATGGAGTTCCTGCCTCCTGGTGCCGGCCTGGCGCTCCCGGCCGTTGTGGGCATTTGGAGAGTGAGCCAGTGGGTGGAAGATGGACACGTCTCTCTCTCTCTGCCTCTTAAGTACTATTCTAAAAATAAATACATTAATATTAAATTCTCTAGTGATGTGTTTACAAGCATGATTCCTGGACCCACAGTGAATAGTAAGTAGTTTCCATGTTCTTGACATATTTTCAAATGACTTTCTAGAAATCTGCTTTCTTCCAGAATTTGTAAAGATCTCACGCTTCTGTATTTCTTGGAAAGCTATGAATAGTTTTTTAAATTAGCAATTAGCACACTATTTTTTTTATTTCTGGCTGAACCCATCTGACCCAAAGTAATCTGGGAGATGATTTTTTTTATTTACTTTAACCTCATGCAATGATAATTCTTTCATTCAGATTTTCTAGCTCTTCTTAAATCAACTTTGCAAAATTATAATTTTACAGAAAAAAGTCAATTCTCATGAGGTTTTCCATTTTGAATGCATATGTGGCAACCTCATACTTTTTCTCAAGATGTTATCCAGTTTTATTTCTCAGTTCTATTTATTCCTTAAATTGTTAAAGCCATTTCCAAGATTAAAAGAGATATCTCTATTTTTTATATTCTTATTTAATTTTTTTCACTGAATATTATTTTTCCTTCTGCTCTCCATGAGATTGTTGGTGGTGTTACTTTTCCAACTCATTAATCTGGATAGTATAGTGATTAAAGGGCGATGAGCCATCTGCCACTTAGTAGACACGTGAATTGGGGACATTTATCAGTTCTCTATGTCTCTTCTACAATGAGAAGGCAACAGGAACACTTCACAGGTTTGCTGTAAAGAGTAAATTAATATGCAAAACACTTGGATTAAACCTGGTGCAAAGTGAATGCTATTATTGGAAGCTTAGACATTGTCATTAAGATTATTATATCATTTATCGACTTTATTTTTACTAATAAAGTGAGTGGCTCTGCATTCACTCTTCAGCTTTGGACATTTTTATGTTAACATAGATTGACATATGTTATTCCTAAAATGTAATGGCCTCATTCGAATTTATTTTCTGAGTGATTTGAGATTACATTTTTGAAAGTCCCGGCTTGATCCAATGCTCATTGGTCAGGTTTTTAACTGTTTCTCTCTGAAACTCCACGTGATCAGAAGTCTCTGTTTAACATTTGCATATTCAGCTCCGGCTTTGCTTGTTGGCAGAGGATGAGCCCTCTGAATGACCCTCGGGGAATACTGACGTCTTCCGGGGTCCACTTCAGGGGTGAAAACACACGTTTTCAAGGTCACTCTTGTGACTCACAGAGCTCACCGCAGAAGGGATCGTTAACACCAAGGAGACCCCGTGCCCGTGACAAGCACGCTGTCCCACCCAGCCTGCCACAGTCCTCGGAAGCCCTTCGCCAGGCCCCTCTAGGTCCCACAGCCGGCGCTGCCGTGGGGTTATTCTGCCATCCCCAGCACCACGCCGCGGTCCCTCTCCCACGTCCCCTGGCAGACCCACCTCAGCATCGCAGTTCCTGATGAGGGTGTCCCGGTTGGAGACCATGCCCCAAGCCGCTATGCCAATGGCCACGATGTTCTCCTCCGAGTTCCTGCTGATCGTGTTGTCTCTCACCACCTCGCCAATGTACTTCATCAGGCCGTAATGGGTGCCTCCCGTGAGAATCCACGCGCCTGTCAACGAGGGACAGCAGCCAACACATAAGTGCCGGTCCTGAGCTCACCGACCCCCTGGGAAACCCATACCCCGTGAGCACCATACCCAGCCCGGGCAGCCACGCAAGGGAATGGGCCTGGCCCGTGAGCCTAGAACTCACAGAAGTCCTTGGGCAGTGACCCTGACAGGTGTTCCTGGGGCCACACAGGCTCTGGGCCCACTGAAGCATCAGGCTCTCTGGGAGGTGCAGCCAGAGAATTGGCATCTTTAAAAAACCTCCAGGGGAATTTTCGTAGGGGCAGTAAATGCCCGGCCTGAGCCTCCAGGCCCAGAAGGCAGCACTACGGAAAGCAGCTCACTCCGCCCCCAGGCCCTGTGTGGGTCCATCTGCTGGGTCGCTCCCCAAACACCCAAAACAGCCAGGGCTGGGCCAGGCCAAAGCCAAGATCCAGGAGCTCCGTCCTGGTCTCTCACACGGGTGGCAGAAGCCCAGGTACTTGGGGCATCACCTGCTGCCCCAGGTTCATTAACAGGGACTGATCTACAGCAGAATAGCGGGGACTCAGACCTGGACTCCAATATGAGACACAGGCTCTGCCAGCCGTGGCTTAACCCACCGCACCACACGCCAGCCCGTCTGTAAGTTTAAAGGCCTCTATTAATGTATATTGTCAGAATTGTTCTATTTTATTATTGTTGTTATCATATCTTGCTGTGCCTAATTTATAAATTACACTTTATCATAGGTATGTGTGCATAGGAATAAAAATAGTAAATATATGGTTCCATCTCTCAGAAATGAAACATGCTTTCTTAGCTCTGTCAATGAGCTAATATTTGTAAAAGATTTCCAATAGTTAAGTTTAGATTAAACTAAATCTCTTCATGAGGAAACATCAGTGAGACCAGTATTCTCCAAGCACGAAAGACAAAGAAAAGCTGAAAATCAATTGCATATGGAAGAAAAGATAAAAATCTAAATGGATTTGGAGTCCCACTGGAGAAAAAAAAGGATTTTCCTCTCCAGGACATTGGGAGAATTAGCAAAATCTGAGTATGGAGCATTTGCTAGGTGACAGCATCGGTCAACCCGACTGTCCAGGCTTGGGGCCTTGGATCAGGTTAGGGGAAACTGCAGCTCTCAGGAGACACCTGCTGATGAACCTAGCCCTCGGCTTACACTCCAGGGGTTCCCTAAGAAACAGCAGATGAGGGCACTTAGGGAACAAGAAAAGAGGAATGTGGGAAAAGGCTAATTGGTGAGCGTAGGTGAAGCACGGGCTGGTATCCATAGCATGCCTCAGGCAGCTTTGCTGTGGGTTTCAATTGCTTCAAAACACGATTATCCCCCTCCCCCACAACCCCCAATAAACAAGACAAAGGGAGCAGGCACTCAGTGCAGCACTCAACATCCAGCTGGGTCACCTGCATCCCCCACCCGACAGCCGAGGTCTTTGCTTCTGAGTCCAGCTTCCCGCTAATGCACACCTGGGAGGCAGCAGGTGAGGCCCAAGTCCTTGGGTCCCTGCCACCCACCTGCAAACCTGCACTGAGTTTCGGACTCCTGGCATTGACCTGGGCCAGCCCTGACTGTCGCAGGTATTTGAGGAGTGAACCAGCAAATGGGAGACTTCTGTGTGTCTCTTAGTTTCTGATTTCAAATGAGTTTTAAAAAGAAGAAAAGCAGGCCCGAGAAAATGTAATGCTATTTCGAGCTGACACAGCCGCCACGGCTTACTTTCCTCTCAGACTCTTACACGGTGCTTCCAGATGCCAGTCACTGCCACCGTGTCCCAAATGACGTCATTGACCTCAATACTGAAGAGCAATCAAATAAAACTTTCCCTTTCATTTTGCCAGAATATTCTGGGTAAAATTCTACATAAATAAGGGACAAAAAGAAAACATTGGAAATTCAAAAAAAATAAAATTACTCCCAACGGGAGCCCCTTTTTAAAGAAACAACGATTAATCCTGCGGTCCCACTAGCATCTGAATTCTGCAGGTGGATTGCAGGAGCAGAGCGGAAGCGCCCGTGCCCCGAGCGGAAGCGCCCGTGCCCCGAGCGGAAGCACCCGCGCCCCGACCTGCGCTCCGGGCGCCGCCTCCCCAGCCCCGCCCCGCCACTGCCACCTTTCGACTGCGCGATGTAGATCAGCCGGCTGAAGATCTTGCGCATGCGCGGCTTCAGCGCGAAGTTTTTGGCGCCGCCCGTGACGGAGATGACCAGGTTGGGCGTCTTCAGGTGCCAGTGCTGGGTCAGCAGCTCGTACAGGGTCTCGGCGTCCGTGTCACAGGACAGGCGGATGTACTGAGCGGGGAAGAGGGCCAGGGTCAGGCGGCGGGGGCGAGGAGGGCGTCCCCGGGGCAGGGCGCAGGACCCTGCGGGTGAAGCGGGGTAGGAAGCGCGGATTCCCCCGAGGGGGGTCCTCCAGCGGCCGTGCTGGGTGCGGAGTGAGGGGCGAGCAGCCTGCGGGCGGCGGGTGGCGGGAGAGAGCCTGTGGCTCGTACCCGGGGCGTGGAGAGAGCCGGCCTGGCGCCTCCGTAATGGGGCCGGGGCCCCGGGTGGCGATCCGCCCCCGCCCGGCAGCCTCTCGGTCCCGCTCTGCTGTGGACCCAGTTCACCTGTCGCCCGGGGACCCCCGCCGGGCAGCCGGAGCACAGAACCAGAGCTCTCACCTTGCCTTTCTTCCCCAAGGTCTCAAACTGGATGTCCCCGAAGGCGTCGGTGGGAAACTCCTTGGTGTGCTTCTTGTAGCTCCACTTGTCGTCCTGGTTGATCTGGGTGCCCTCCACGTGCTGGCTCTGGGCGTAGCCGCACTTGCACACGCTGTCCCTGGGTGTGACGAAGGCACGGGTCCCTTCAGCCTGCAGAAGCGGCTCAGCGCCCCTCTCGGAATCAACCGCGCGGGATTCGCACGCGTCACCCTCCAGCCTCAGCTACAGACTTGATGCGCTTCTGCGCAAACTCCGGGTTTTGGTTTTTCCCTGTCATTTACTGTTCGCTAATGAGAGCCCAGCGGGGACAGCTCAGACCCTGCCCTCGTGGAGTCTCTCGTCCGTGATGAGCCCGAGACTCGGCAGGCTGGAAGCTCCCTACCCAGCGTCTCACCCAGCTCCTAATTCTCAGGGCCCTGGGACAGACCCCGTGCCCCAGCCAGCACTGCTCTCAGACCTGAAGTGGACTGGACTCAGTGGGCAGACTCGCTCCCTAGCAAGGGAGCCCATCCTTTCCACACCTGGGCATCAGCTTTTTATTTTTTTAAGATTTATTTATTTATTTGAAAAGTTACAGAGAGAGGTCTTCCATCCACTGGTTCACTCCCCAAATGGCCACCATGGCTGGGGCTGGGCCAGGCCAAAGCCAGGAACCAGGAGCTTCTTCTGGGTCCCCCATGTAGGTGCAGGGGCCGTCTGCCGCTGCTTTCCCAGGCACGTTAGCAGGGAGCTGGGTTTGGAAGTGGAGCTGGTGGGACTCAAACCGGCAACCATATGAGATGCCAGCACTGCAGACGGGGGCTGAACCTGCTGCACCAGAGCGCCAGCCCCAACATAAACGGCTCCTCTCCCTGTGTACTGCAGTCACTCAACAGACCATTCTGAAAATCTCTGCCTCAGATCTGAGCCAACCTTCAGGGCACACCAAGATGGATGGGGTGGGATTCTGACCTTCCAGTTACTCGGATCTCTTGGGGACAGCCAAGGACCAAGCTGGCAGGTGCATCAAGGTGAGAAAACACAGCTAACCTCTGCACAAGCCCTCTCCTGTCAGGCTTTGAAACAATGCGGAACATCAGGCTGGCCTGGAACACGGTACCTGCACTATCGAGTTAAGTGTCCCACACATGCCTACCCGGGAGTAACACTGGCAGGTGACAACAGAAGGAAGCAGAAAGGTGTAGTAAACCAAAACCTGAGCGTATATGTTGTGGTTGTGGTGCCCAGGCTCTGTTCACCCTCGTCCCACTTTGGTTCTGCACACATGGACCTCGGGGACTCTCGGGAGAGCCTTTGGGCAGTTGCTATCAATCAGCTAAGGTTGCAAGTAGCTATCAGTATTAACTGTCATTCATTTGATTCCCTTGTCCATGGGGCAGTTTAGAATACAGAGTGTTGTTGCCACAGATCAACAGAGGAATCAGTGTGGGGAGATCCAAAGCCCCGGGGTCTTCCCCATGGTCCACAACGCGCATCTGCCCCGCTTCTGGTGCTGGGAGCCCTGCCAGTCAGAAGTCTTTGTGGCCCGGTCTGGAGAGGCTGGCCAAGTGCTGTACGGTGGACAGCTGTGCGTTTCCCTTACTTGAATCCATTTCCCTGCTGCTGGTAAGTGCACCCAGTGCCCCTTTAAGGAACTGTCCCTTTCTACACTGAGTCCTGCTGGACACCACCGCCCTAGGCTGGCCAGTCAACACCGGTCATCCTCCAAGCCCCAGGGGTCAGTCTAGAGATGGTCACGTTGCCCAAACCAGGCCAGTAAGAGCCATGAAGACCACCCCAAGACTCCTGTTGGAATTGCTAGGAACGGGCCCCCTTCGCCCCCAACCAATACAGTGGGGGGCTGATAACACGGAAGGCAGAGATCACAGGTCCTGTCTGTGGCCACCATGAGCAAAGCCCACAGGAAAGGTGGAGTGAGGCGGCCGGTGCCGCGGCTCACTAGGCTAATCCTCTGCCTTGCGGCGCCGGCACACCGGGTTCTAGTCCCGGTCGGGGCGCCGGATTCTGTCCCGGTTGCCCCTCTTCCAGGCCAGCTCTCTGCTGTGGCCAGGGAGTGCAGTGGAGGATGGCCCAAGTGCTTGGGCCCTGCACCCCATGGGAGACCAGGAGAAGCACCTGGCTCCTGCCATCGGATCAGCGGGGTGCACCAGCTGCAGCGCGCCGGCCGCAGTGGCCATTGGAGGGTGAACCAACGGCAAAGGAAGACCTTTCTCCCTGTCTCTCTCTCTCACTGTCCACTCTGCCTGTCAAAAAAAAAAAAAAAAAAAAAAAAAAAAAAAAAAGTGTGGAGTGAGGCGGCAAGGTCTTGCTGACGTCGCACAAGCCCTGGGTCTGTCTGTGCTTTTGGGCCACAAGGCCCTGTCCTCACGTGTACACACACTGCACATTGACTTGAGCCCGTGAGACTGAGTATCTGAACAGAAAGTGTTGATGGATTTGGTCTGCCTGAAGCAGTGCCATTCTTAGAAAGGGAAACAGCTGCAGAGAAAGTTGGCGCGACCTGGAGTCAGAGCGCCACGGTTCCGGTCCCTCCTCCCTCTCCCACGTGACCCTGGGTGGACTGCTGACCCTCTCAGCCTCACTTGCCTTCTCTGCCAAACAGTGTGGACAGCTGCTTTGCAGAGGGGTTGCAGTGTGAGCAACCAAGCATACAAAGTCCTTTGACATAGCAGAGATGCAGAAAATACTGATTAAGGAGTTCATCCAAGCTGTGTTTTCTCCCAAACACATAAATTAACAGCAAAAACCTCTACGAAACTTCCAGAGGGCAGAGACCTGACTTCCAGCATTTGTACTCGGAGTGATTCTGACGAGTCAGTTTACACAAGGAAAATTAGAAACCTTAGTCTTTCTGATGTTCATTCTAATGCACACAGAATAAGGAAACACATCGTCTGGGGACTCATTGTCTGAGGCACTAAGGTATTTTGTGTGTTGCCCTCACGCAATCCTTCCCACAACCCAGGAAGGGTATTTTGCTAGGTTTTCAGGATAAGAGAGCTCAGTTCTAAGGAGAGAATTGAGCTGGCCTATGGTAGAGTGGGTAAAGCCACCGCCTGTGACGCCGGCCTCCTATTTGGGTGCCAGTCTGTGTCCCATCTGCTCCACTCCAATCCAGCTTGCCGCTAATGCCTGGGGAAGCAGCGGAAGACGACCCAAGCGCTTGGGCCCCTGCACTCACGCGGGAGACTCAGGTGAAGCTCAGCCCTGCTGTTGGAGCCACCTGGGAGTGAACCAGCGGATGGAAGATGGGTCTCTATCTCCGTCTTTCCCTGTCTCTCTGTGACTTTGACATTTAAATAATTTTAAAAACTAGAACAGTGAGTCAAGGTCATATCAAGGCTGGAACTGTGGGCAACTCTGAAGCTCTTGCCCTTCTTGGACCTTCACCCTCTGCACTGCCTCCGTTCAGCAGGGGTCAGTTGTAAGTTACAACCCACAGCAGCCGCTCCTGGTCAGGGTGTAACTAGACTCCTCCGTCCAGCAGGCCAAGGAGAAGGGGCAGGGAAGACCCGAGCAGGGGGAGGTGGCATCAGAACTGTTCTGTCAATCCCACGGGCACGGCCCCTGTGAGAACGGTCAGCAGTGCTCATCCATCTGTCCATTCGCTCACTCGTCCACCAACGTTGACTGAGGGGCTTCTGTGTGGCAAACTGCTGGGGCCGCATCCGCAACCCTAAACACAGGAGACTCGCGGCCGATGGCTAGTCAAGCAGAAGGGGCGGCCCCCTCACAAAGGAGGGGAGAAGGGCCTGACAGAGGAGCTGGTCACTCTGACTCCTGAGCACGCGGGGCGTTGTCTGACAGCACTCAGCCAAGGCCGCCCAGGGGGCTCCCGGGCTTGGGGGCACCCAGCCCCTCAGTGACCTGGTCAACTCTTGCCGAAGCCAAAAGACTAAAAACAAGATAACAACAGGAAACGCTAGAAGATACAGTCCACCGTCCCATCCACCAATCCAACCAACTGCAGAGTGAAAACATTTAAACAAAATAATTGTGTCTATATGGAACAAGTAGACAATACAGTATAGTAACTTTATACTGCCTAATCTAGAGAGAATTTAGATTACGCAGGAGGATGTGTGCAGGTTCTACGTGAATCCTATGCCATTTTATAGGACACTTGGGCACCCAGGGTTTTGTGAGGGTCCTGGAACCACCCCCTGCAGATACCGAGCGATGCCTGCATGGAACCTTCCTGCTCACGCTCCCTTCCTGAGAATTGTAAAACAAAAACGACTTAAACAGGTGAGCACAGTGACTTTGTTGCAGTGGTGGCTAATAATGTATATTTTGAGCAAAAAAAAAATGAAGGAAAAAATATAGCTTACGTGGCCTTGGAGTCTTTGGTAAAGAAGACACATTCCCGTTTCTTAAAATTTGCTTGGATAAAATTCACCAAGTCCTTTGGAGAAAGCACATTGGATAACACGTCAGTAATATCCCCTGCTGATATTAATGAAGGCTAAACACGACCCCGGCCTGCTTCAGAGGTTTTAAGAATCTGCCACACACTCCTAGCATCCAGCATCTGTCCATGATTTTAGGGTCCATCGAGTCTTCTAAAACACGCATACATTTCAATGTTTGTAACAAAATGCAAATTTTTCCAAAAGTTTCTTGGAGCTATCTTGCACATAATTTACCTTACACACATGCAAATTATGTTCTTGGTGCCAAGGCCGCTGGAGGGACTATGAACACTGGATGATGGCTTAGCATAAACAGTGTAACAATACATAGTCCCATCCCTCTTCCACTTGCTCTATAAAAGAAGACAAATTCCCCAAATTCCGACCACAGTCGTGTTTGTCCCCGTGGACAAGGTGGTTAGGTGCGTCTGGGACCTAATTCTGACAACCGAATGGTTTTAGAAGCCTAGAGTTCCCCTACGCTGGCAGAGCAGACTGTCTAGAGACAGATGAAAAAAAACGCTTTGAAAATCCCTACACTACTCAAAGTGGGACAGGAACTTGCAACATATATTAATCATCATAGCTAAGAATTCAGATCAGTAAGAAGCAGACCACCCCTTGGGGGGGACAGCAAAAGGCAAATAACCAGTGAACAGGAAAGGAGGCTCGACCTCATCGGTAATGCTGCCAACGGGAAGCAGCGGGCTTTTGCCAGCTGCATGTGTGTGTGTGTGCGGGGTGAGCTGGTACAGTATCACGGGGAGGTGTCAGCCGTGCCCATACGGTTATCCTAAGAAAGAATCCCCCACGGAGGGAGGCCGCGTTGTCCCTGGGAGCAGCTGCACACTGAGGCCCAGCGATGGGTTTTCAACTTCAAGGCCTTTCTTGCTCAGGGGAGATGGGACTGCCAGTGGCTTCCCATCCCCCTGCAGCCCAAACCCACTTCCTGCAGGCCACCCTGCACGGGCAGCTGAGGCCACCCCGTGCTCGGCCGGCCTCACAAGACAGGCTGAGGGCACCAAAGCCAGCCGGCTCCTTACCCTCCACAGGGAGACCATCACCAGCTTTGCACACTGAAGGAGCGTGGTGGCTGGAAGGAAGCCCACAGCACCTCTTCCCTGGCTGCCCTGGGGTGTCAGAGACCACAAGTCTTCCCGACCCTTCCAACGCAAGTTTCCCCATCAGTCCTGTGTCCTCACCCGGAGCCTTTCAAGGGAGAGAAGAATCCCCTCGGCCCAAGGAAGGCTTTCCCAGGAGCCCCAGCGTTCACGCCCAACAGTGAGAGCAGTGGCACTGTGCTCCACACAGCAAGTTCTGCATGAACAAAGCCCGGCACAGCAGTGAGAGGCAGCCACTGCCGCACACAGCTGTGTGGTGAATCTCAGATTCAGACCTCACCAGGAACACACAGTGCAGTGCTCTGCAAATCCAGGTAAACAGCGGGTGAGGGGTCTTTGAGACGTCGCTGGAAAATGCATATTATGGAAAAACTGCTGCTTCTCTCTGTCTGCCTCTCTGACTCTGCCTTTCAAATAAGTATTTAAAAAGAAAAAAAAAACTGTGCATGATTTCAAAAATATTTGTACCAAAAATTGTCTCCATTTTTCACAGACGTTCTAAAGTGTGCTTATATTTAGGGAGATACACACACACACACACACACACACACATTCAAGTCATAAACGTCTAAATAAAAGCAAGAATAAGCAACACAAAATTCAGGATAGGGGTTACAACAGGAAGCTGACTTGGGGACTTTCACATCACTGATCACATTCTACTAAAAATAAAAAGAAAATTTATTTATTTGAAGAGTTACAGAGAGGGAGAGACAGGACTTCCATCTTCTGGTTCACGCTCCAAGTGGCTGCAATGATCAGACTGAGCCAGGCCAGAGCCGGGAGCTTCTTCCAGGCCTTCCACGTGGGTGCAGGGACAAGGACTTGGGCCATCTTCCACTGCTTTCCCAGGCCATAGCAGAGGGCTGGACAGGAAGCAGAGCAGCCAGGACTCCAACCGGCGCCCATATGGGATGCCGGGGCCACAGGCAGGGCTTTCCCCGCTATGCCACAGTGCTGGCGCCCTGCATGGGACTTCTCACACTGGAGGGGGGCATTCAGTGTCACAGCCCAGCCCCCAACCCTCACAGCCGTTTGGCAAGTGAATCAGCAGATGGAAGATCCCTCCCAACCCCCCATCACTCTGCCTTTCAGATAAATAAATTTTTTTTTCGGTACAGAAGAAGTTTTCTTTTTATTTTTTAAATTCATTTTTTAACTTTTATTTAGTAAATATAAATTTCCAAGTACATCTTATGGATTACAATGGCTTTTCCCCCCATAACTTCCCTCTCACCCACAACTCTCCCATCTCCCGCTCCCTCTCCCATTCCATTCACATCAAGATTCATTTTCAATTATCTTTATATACTGAAGATCAATTTGGTATATATTAAGTAAAGATTTCATCAGTTTGCACCCACACAGAACATAATGTATAAAATACTGTTTGAGTACTAGTTATAGCATTAATTCACATTGAACAACACATTAAGAACAGAGATCCTACATGAGGAGTAGGTGCACAGTGACTCCTGTTGTTGACTTAACAATTGACACTCTTGACTTAACAAATTGACACTCTTGTTTATGGCATCAGTAATCTCCCTAGGCTCTAGTCATGAGTTGCCAAGGCTATGGAAGCCTTTTGAGTTCGCTGACTTTGATCTTAGACAAGGTCATAGTCAAAGTGGAAGTTCTCTCCTCCCTTCAGAGAAAGGTACCTCTTTCTTTGATGGCCTGTTCTTTCCACTGAGATTGCACTCACAGAGATCTTTCATTTAGGTGTTTTTTGTTTTGTTTTGTTTTTGCCAGAGTGTCTTGGCTTTCCATGCCTAAAATACTTTCATGGGCTCTTCAGCCAGATCCAAATGCCTTAAGGGCTGATTCTGAGGGCAGAGTGCTATTTAGGACATCTGCCATTCTATGAGTCTGCTGTGTATCCCGCTTCCCATGTTGGATTGTTCTCTCCCTTCTTTATTCTATTAGTTAGTATTAGCAGACACTAGTTTTGTTTATGTGATCCCTTTGACTCTTAGACCTATAAGTATGATCAACTGTGAACTGAAATTGATCACTTTGACTAGTGAGATGTCATTGGTACATGCCACTTCGATAGGATTGTATTGGAATCCCCTGGCACATTTCTAACTCCACCATTTGGGGCAAGTCAGCTTGAGCATGTCCCAAATTGTGCATCTCCTCCCTCTCTTATTCCCACTCTTATATTTAACAGAGATCACTTTTCAGTTAAATTTAAACACCTAAGAATAATTGTGTGTTAATTACAGAGTTCAACCAATAGTATTAAGTAGAACAAAAAAATACTAAAACACATCAGAAAGATCATCCACCCAGACCAAGTGGGATTTATCCCTGGTATGCAGGGATGGTTCAATGTTTGCAAATCAATTAATGTGATACACCACATTAACAGACTGCAGAAGAAAAACCATATGATTATCTCAATAGATGCAGAGAAAGCATTTGATAAAATACAACACCCTTTCATGATGAAAACTCTAAGCAAACTGGGTATAGAAGGAACATCCCTCAATACAATCAAAGCAATATGAAAAATCCACAGCCAGCATCCTATTGAATGGGGAAAAGTTGGAAGCATTTCCACTGAGATCTGGTACCAGACAGGGATGCCCACTCTCACCACTGCTATTAAATATAGTTCTAGAGGTTTTAGCCAGAGCTATTAGACAAGAAAAAGAAATTAAAGAGACACAAATTGGGAAGGAAGAAGTCAAACTATCCCTCTTTGCAGATGATATGATTCTTTATTTAGGGGATCCAAAGAACTCTACTAAGAAACTATTGGAACTTATAGAAGAGTTTGGCAAAGTAGCAGGATATAAAACCAATGCACAAAAATCAACAGCCTTTGTATACACAGGCAATGCCACAGCTGAGAAAGAACTGCTAAGATCAATCCCATTCACAATAGCCACAAAAACAATCAGATACCTTGGAATAAACTTAACCAAGGACATTCAAGATCTCTATGATGAGAACTACAAAATCTTAAAGAAAGAAATAGAAGAGGATACCAAAAAATGGAAAAACCTTCCATGCTCATGGATTGGAGGAATCAATATCATCAAAATGTCCATTCACCCAAAAGCAATTTATCGATTCAATGTGATACCAATCAAAATACCAAAGACATTCTTCTCAGATTTGGAAAAAATGATGCTGAAATTCATATGGAGACACAGGAGACCTCAAAGAGCTAAAGCAATCTTGTACCACAAAAACAAAGCCAGAGGCATCACAATACCAGATTTCAGGACATACTACAGGGCAGTTGTTATCAAAACAGCATGGTACTGGTACAGAAACAGATGGATAGACCAGTGGAACAGAATTGAAACACCAGAAATCAACCCAAACATCTACAGCCAACTTATATTTGATCAAGGATCCAAAACCAATCCCTGGAGTAAGGACAGTCTATTCAATAAATGGTGCTGGGAAAATTGGATTTCCACGTGCAGAAGCATGAGCAAGACTCCTACCTTTCACCTTACACAAAAATCCACTCAACATGGATTAAAGACCTAAATCTATGACCTGACACCATCAAACTATTAGAGAACATTGGAGAAACCCTGCAAAATATAGATACTGGCAAAGACTTCTTGGAAAAGACCCCAGAAGCACAGGCAGTCAAAGCCAAAATTAACATTTGGGATTGCATCAATTGAGAAGTTTCTGTACTGCAAAAGAAACAGGAAAGTGAAGAGGCAACCGACAGAATGGGAAAAATATTTGCAAACTATGCAACAGATAAAGGGTTAATAACCAGAATCTACAAAGAGATCAAGAAACTCCACAAAAACAAAACAAACAACCCACTTAAGAGATGGGCCAAGGACCTCAATAGACATTTTTCAAAAGAGGAAATCCAAATGGCCAACAGACAAATCAAAAAGTGTTCAAGATCACTAGCCATCAGGGAAATGCAAATCAAAACCACAATGAGGTTTCACCTCACCCGGTTAGAATGGCTCACATACAGAAATCTATCAACAGATACTGGTGAGGATGTGGGGAAAAAGGGACACTAACCCACTGTTGGTGGGAATGCAAAGTGGTTAAGCCACTATGGAAGTCAGTCTGGAGATTCCTCAGAAACCTGAATATAACCCTACCATACAACCCAGCCATCCCACTGCTTGGAATTTACCCAAAGGACATTAAATTGGCAAACAAAAGAGCTGTCTGCACCTCAGTGTTTATTGCAGCTCAATTCACAATAGCTAAGACCTGGAACCAACCCAAATTCCCATCAACAGTAGACTGGATAAAGAAATTATGGGACATGTACTCTATAGAATACTACACAGCAGTAAAAAACAGTGAAATCCAGTCATTTGCAAAAAAAAAAAAAAAATGGAGGAATCTGGAACATATCATGCTGAGTGAAATAAGCCAGTCCCAAAGGGACAAATATCATATGTTCTCCCTGATCAGTGACAACTAACCGAGCACCAAAAAGGACACCTGTTGAAGTGAAACGGACACTATGAGAAGCAGTGACTTGATCGGCCCTTGTCCCGACTGTTGATGTACAGATAAATAAATCTTTAAAAACAATTTAGATAGCAAAACTCACTTCTATGTGCACATGCATGCAAACATTTTGAAAATCTTCAATGCCCATTTTCCTCATAGTACTTTCTGCCCACTGAATGAGGGCATTTTCCTCATAGCACTTTCTGCCCACTGAATGAGGGAAACTCAGCAGCTCTGTGAGCTTGTGAGATCAGTGACCATGGCAGAGGGAGAAGAAAAAACTGCTTTCCTTCTGAAAATGCCTCTGAAGACGCCCTTGGCAGAGGTGGGAGTGTGCCGGGGGGGCAAACAGGACGCCTTGAGTGGGTGGTCTCCGCAGTCTGCCTATGAGAGCCACCTGCATCCAGGGTGGGGGGCCCGTGGGACTGCCAAGGCCATGGAAAGAAAAGAACCAGCCGCCGGCCACCTCCTGGCCACCACTGCCAGAGGCCAAGGGGCCATATGCAGGGCCCGCTGGAGGCGCTTCGTGCTTGGGCTCAAGGAGGAGAGAGGAGGGGGTGCTGGCTGGCGAACCCACTGCTGCCCCTGCCCACTGTTCAGTGCTCACGGTTCCAGGACTCGGGTGAGACACGGGAGCAAAATCTTTGTTTCCTGACGCAGAGAGTTTGGGGCAGGGCCTGGGAGTGGGCAGAGACGTGCGGGAGGAGCCACATGTGGGGTCAGCAAGGCCTGGGAGGGGAGGCAGCAGGAGGGCAGGCGGCGCCTCCTGCAGGACCCCGCTCTGAGTGCACTTCATCCAGGAAGCCGGGCCAGGCACACCCCTGTCCTGAGGGCGTCACAGAGGCCTGCTGGGGACTGGCGAGGAGAGTCCGCCAGGGAGCAGGGGCCCAGGAGAGACCACCAGGGAGCAGGGGCCCAGGAGAGACCCCCAGGGAGCAGGGGCTCAGGAGAGATGTCAAGGAGTAGGGGCTCAGGAGAGACAGCCATGGAGCAGGGGCCCAGGAGAGATGCCAGGGAGCAGGGGCCTAGGAGAGACCGCCAGGGAGCAGGGGCCTAGGAGAGACCACCAGGGAGTAGGGGCCCGGGAAAGACCACCAGGGAGCAGGGGCCTAGGAGAGATGCCAGGGAGCAGGGGCCCAGGAGAGACCACCAGGGAGCAGGGGCCCAGGAGAGATGCCGGGGAGCAGGAGTCTGGGAGAGATCCCCAGGGAGCGGGGGCCCAGGCTGCGGCCAGGACAAATGCAGACGCCCCCAGTCCCAGATCCCCACCAGAGGCTGCAGAATCCGTGCTGACCTCGCAGGGCCGCGAGCAAGAGCGCCCAGCAGCAAAACAACACAGGAAAATCACAGACTACAGTTTCCTGTGTCAGACAGCAGGTGCGAGACGTAACTTAGTGAGGGGACAGTGAAAGGCCTTTAAAACCAAAATGCTTGCAAAACGACCCGGAAAGTGCGTCTGCACGTGACAACTGGCGAGACAATGCCGTGGGTTGAGACGGTCGTTTTGAGGAGGGCGGGCTGGACCCCACCTCTCCGCCCCGCGGCCGCGCACCACGACTTACGCTGTCGCCGTAGGACACGTCCGTGCTGCGAGACACGCTGGAGCAGAGGGTCCGCGTGCTGCCCAGGGCGCCGTGCCTCCTGCTCCTCACGCTGAACCGGGCTCTCTCCAAGGGCATCTCTGCGGTGAAGACCCTGGCAGGCGGGAGGCGGGTGAGGACAGCGGCACGGCTTCACTCACGCCTCCGCCCCGGCTCAGCCCTGGACAGAGCCCGCCCTTCTTCCACCCCTCCCCTCCCCGCCATGAACAGAGCCCCATCCTCAGTCCACCCCTCCCCGGCTCTGCCCTGGACAGAGCCACGCCCCTGTCCACCCCTCCCCTCCCCGCCATGGACAGAGCCCCGCCCCCCCCCCGCCCCGTCCACTCCTCCCTGGCTCCACCATGGACAGAACCCCATCTACTCCCTCCCTCGCTCCACCATGGACAGAGCCCCGCCCCTGTCCACCCCTCCCCTGCTCCACCATGGACAGAGCCCTGCCCTCCATCCGTCCCCTCCCCTCTCTGCCATGGATGGAGCCCTGCCCTCCATCCGTCCCCTCCCCTCTCTGCCATGGATGGAGCCCTGCCCTCTGTCCACCCCCTCCCCTCCCCGCCATGGACAGAGCCCCGCCCCCGTCCACCCCTCCCCGGCTCCACCATGGACAGAGCCCCGCCCTCCATCCGTCCCCTCCCCTCTCTGCCATGGACAGAGACCCCTCCTCTGTCCACCCACCAGGGTTACCACACCCCCGTCCCTAATTCTAGGACCCTGCTGGAGTTTCCGTCCTGGGCACATCTTCCCCCACCCCTCACCCCTGAGTGCTGCCTCCGCATGGTGGCACCACGCGTGGCATCGTGTTGCATCTGCCACTGGCGATAGAGCTCTGAGAGCAGGGCTGTGCCCAGCCCACCAGAGCACCACACGCGTGGGCTCGCCACGGCTCCTTGCTGGGTGAGTGAGTCTGGCATAGAGGGAATTTCCAGGTCAGACGTCCATGGGTAGTGGCTCCCGTTGGCCAGACATGCAGCCAGCAGGCAGAGAGGGGAATCCTGGCCCTGACGCCCTCAAAGTGGGGCAGTCAGCAAGCCTCAGGCACCCTCCAAAGCAGGTGTGTGGGCCCCAGGGACACCAGGCACCTCCTGGCCAGGCTCTGGGGCACAGCATGGACCTTGGCATTGTAGGCACTGAGACAGCCTCTCTCCCGCGGTTCCCCCAACTCTTAACTCAGACAGGTGCATCCTCTCTCCACACGAGACCCACCAAAGGCCTGCCTGACCTTCTTTGTCCCGCCTACTCGGTAAACAGGACGTTTCTGGAACAAGAGCGTCATCTTTCCAGGACACCTCCCAGAGTCCCCTGCTCCCTGCCCGTCCCCAGTGCCCCAAGGCTCTCTGATTGCCCAGTCACCACCCACAGCCCTCCTGCCTCCTCCTCCCCTGGGCCCCACCTCTCCCAGCATCAGACTGGAATGCCCTTCCGCTGGACTCCTGCCGGTCCTCCAGCCTCGTGCTGGAGGAAGCCCCGCGGTGCCCGGCTGGGGCATGCATGCACCCAGCTGTTGGCATGACACTTGTTTAATGACCTCTGGGCCAACGGCCGGCTGGGTCTGTCTTATGCTCCACTAGACTTCCAGGGCCTGGCGCAGTGCAGGGAGCAGATCTGTACAAATATTGGTTGAGTGAATCCATGACCCCTCATAAATCCTCCTGTGCTTTGCAAAATACTACTTCCGCGTGGCCTCCCGTAACCCCGGCTGTGGACACACCTAGGACACAGAGCAGTCCCACGGCTCACTCAGATCTGTTCCCGGTGCCTCCGCCCACAAAACCCTCCCGCATCCAGAGACCGGCCGCATCCTTAGAACGCACAGACGATGTAAAACAGTGAGCGCTCCCTTTACTTCTCTCCCCAGGCGATTCAGAGAGACGCTCCGAGGATTAATTGGTGCCTCACATACATCACTGAGAAACCGCAGATCAATCCTGCGAGGTATCCACGGGGATTCCCACGCAGTGCGTCGTGGCTAAGTAGGGCACCGGCCATTGGCAACTGACTTCATTGGCCTCACAGTGAAAAACTGCTCATCCCACGTCAATGGAAAGACTAGCCGTGTAAGATGTGCACCAAGCTGCCTTGCTCTGATAGTCAAGTGCCTTTTTGGTTAATTCCTTGAATTTTCATCATTTGCGAGGCAGAGAGACACAGAGCTCCATCTACTGCCTCACTCCCCAAGGCTGCAGCAGCTGCCTTGCTCTGCGGCTGAAACTGAGTGCCGGGACCTCAGTCTATGACTCTTAACACGAGTGGTGCGAACCCTACTACTGGAGCCATCACCCCTGACTCCCAGGGTCTGCACTGGCAGGAAGCTGGAGTCAAGAGCGAGAGCAGAGGGGCTGGCGCTGTGGCGTAGTGGGCAAAGCTGCCTTCTGCAGTGCTGGCATCCCATATGGGTGCTGGTTCAAGTCCCAGCTGCTCCTCTTCCCGTCCTGCTCTCTGCTATGGCCTGGGAAAGCAGTAGAAGATGGCCCAAGTCCTCAGGCCCCTGCACCTGTGTGGGAGACCTGGAAGAAGCTCCTGGCTCCTGGCTTTGGAACTGCACAGCTCTGGCCATTGTAGCCAATTGGGGAGTGAACCAGCGGATGGAAGATTCTCTCTCTCTCTCTCTCTCTCTCTCTAATCTGCCTTTCAAATAAATAAATAAATCATAAAAAAGAGAGCTAGAGCAGAAACTTAAACCCAAATATTGCAATGTTTCATTTCTTTAAATTTTTTTTTTTATTTTATATGAGACACACACAGACATCTCCCATGATTTACTCCGAAGATGCTGGGAAACCAAAAACTCAATCTGACTCACGGGTGGCGAGGACCCAACTGCCAACCAATCCGCCGCCCCCAGGGTGCGCCTTAGCAGGAAGCTGGAATCAGGCACTCATATACAATACAGGTGTCCCAAACAGCATCTTAACTGCTCAGATAAACACTCTCTCACCTCAATGTGTGTGTGTGTGTGTGTATGTGTGTGTTAAGAGTTATTTATTTATTTATTTGAAAGGCAGATTACAGAGAGGCAGAGGCAGAGAGAGAGAGAGGTGTTCCATCCATTGGTTCACTCCCCAGATGGCCACAACGGCTCCGAAGCCAGGAGCCAGGAGTTTCTTCCAGATCTCTCACATGGATGCAGGTGCCCACTTGGGCCATCCTCTGCTGCTTTCCCAGGCCATGGCAGAGAGCTGGATTGGAAGAGAAGCAGCCGGGACTCCAACCGGAGCCCTTATGGAATGCTGGCACTGCAGGCGGCGGCTTTACCCGCTGTGCCACAGTGCTGGCCCCTCAATGAATTTTAAGGTCAATGTTTCTAACCAGTTCTCTGAGGCCAGTTGATTGATTACGAGGTTGGAATTCTTCACAGCGCCTCACCTGAGATGCTCCAGGTGCTCATTCAGGTGTGTTGGTCTTCTAGACATGTTCTTGCAGAATTTAAGGCTCAGACCAGAAACAGGAAGGGGCATGGGCCCAAGACCCAAGGGCAAAGATGGGAAGAGAAGGAGCACACCAGGGCTGCATGGGGCGAGGGGAGAGTCCCCAGGGGAGCCGCAGGAAAGGGCGAGCAGCAGCTGACTGGTCTTGCAGGACCGAGATCTGGGAACGAGGATGAAAACTAGGGGGGAGAAAGGGAGAGGAAGCCGCCCCAGCAAGGATCCATCCACGTGTCCCAAGCCATGGAGAGACAATGAAGTCACCACCAGATCCGACGGCCCCAGGCCCAGCAGAAACACGAGCAAAGGGCCAGAGCCAAACCCACCAGAGGAAGGAACGCGAAGCACCAGACAGCGCAGGAGCATCCGAACCCCTGAAACAAGAGTAGTGGAGTCCGCAATGCAGGGGTGCTTGCGATGACAGTGTTTGACCTTGAGCAGAGGGCGGTGGGACTGACACTCTGCGAGGACCGGCTACAGACAAATCTGTTTAGCTTCCTGCATAGCAATGTGAAATAACTTAGCAGGACTTGCAGAAATTGCCATGGTTGGGACAGGTGTTTAGCACAGCGGTTCAGACACCCTCATCCCATATCCGAATGCCTGCTTTGATAACCGGCTCGGGTTTCTGACCTCACTTCCTACTGTGCACCCTAGGAGGCAGCAATGATGCCTTACGTACTTGGACCCCTGGCACCCACGTGGGAGACCTGGATGGAGCTCCTGGCTCTTGGCTTTGCCCTGGCCCAGCCCTGGGATTATAGGCATTTGGCAAGTGAACCGTTGCATGGGAGTGCCCTTTCTCTCTCTCCCTCTTTCTCTCTCTCTCTCTCTCTCTCTCTCTCATCTACTCCTCTCTGTTACTGTCTCTGTTTCTGTGTCTCTCTGCCTTTAAATATTTACTTATTTATTTGAAAATAACAAAGTAACAGAGAGAAAGACAGAGGCAGAGAGAGATAGAGAGAGAGAGACATCTTCCATCTGCTGGTTCACTCCCCAAATGACTCCAACAGCCAGGGCTGAGCCAGTCCAAAGCTAATAGCCAGGAACTCTATCTGGGTCTCCCATATGGGTGGCAAGAGCCCAAACACTTAGGCGATTAGTGGGGAGCTAGATTGGAAGTGGAGCAGCCAAGACATGAACCAGCGCACACACGGGATGCCAGCATTGCAGGCGGCAATTTTACCTGCTACACCACAGTGCTGGCCCCAGTGTTTTGGTTATTAACTGCTTGTTGACGTGTGGTTTGTAAATGTCTTTTCCCACTCCGTAGGCTGCCCTCACATTTTGCTGGCTGTTTCCTTTACTTTGAAGGAGCTTTTGGTTGAGTTAATCCACTTGTCTGTTTTTGCTTCTGTTACTTGTGCTTTTGGGGTCTTATCCAAAAAATCATTGCTAAGACCAAGGTCCAGGGTTGACTCCCAGCCTTATTTCTACAGGAAACTGGTACCCAGTCAGGTGTGACAGAGACTGGCAGCATCATGTGACCTGGCGTCATACCAGAGGACATGCTTGAGATACTCAGGGGGACTGACCCGCAGAGTCCTCACGGTGAGCACTGACTCCAGCAGCGTTCTGGGCAGGCGGGACACAAGCAGTGTAGACCTGGGGCTCTGTGTCCTCAACCTTAACCCACCCAACAGAGGCAGGCAGTGTAGACATGGGGCTCTGTCTG